ACGTGGTTCCCCACTGAATGTCAAAAGCTTTTTGCTCGGAGTACAACGTCGATTCAAGGAAGATCTTCACCTGAATATCCAGCTTTGGTCCTTTGTTCCTGGTGTATTCGTCATGTTCATCCTAGTGAGTCTCGCGCACATGTATTAAATCGGTGGCTAACGGCGGCAGACTACCATCTCGGACTTGATCCAGATATCACCCGAGGACTTTTCTAAATTCAGTGCTGTGGCTATTGAAGACAACATTAATGAGAAATATGCCAACAAGGTATGCGATTCTATTCTCGGGTGCTGGCATCCTCTCACATTGACCTAGGTAATCCAAAAAATCGGCCTCTGCATCAGCTTCTATGACCTATTGGAGTCTTCTGATGGTCTAATCGGCCATGGGACTGGTCTGGTTAACGTGAATGGTAAGACATATTTGTTCGATCTCAAGATCATCACTAACCAGTCCAGTCAAATTCCGGATGATCGTTTTCCGACCCTTTAAGGGCGAGATCATGCTAGGAAAGATTGCAAGTGGCACAGAGCACGGTATTAAGAGTATGTTTCAAGCATTCACACTCCAACTACACGACTAATATATCGACAGTCGGCCTGGAATTCTTCAACGATATCCTCATTCCACCACAGATGCTTATGGAAAAGTCCCGATTGTGAGCAGCTCCTCCACTGTGGAATTGCAATACACTAACATTCTAATAGTGACTATGCAGAGCAAGTCTGGATTTGGGAGAACGAAGACGGAACAGAATTCTTCTTCGATGTGGGAGAAGTCGTCCGGTTCCGTATTGAATCAGAAGAGTGGCACGATCAGGTCCCCAACGCGCCAGACCTTGGCGATGAAACTCCTACAGAGAGACGGCCTCCATATTCCATTCTTGTTGGTTTTCCTTTCATGCATGTCCGTTGCTTTGCTGACCACTTCTAGGGCTCGATGCAAATGGGTGGAACTGGACCTATCACCTGGTGGTAGATGTGTAGTTTGCTACACTCAGACTGTGTCTATCGTGGCACCGAACGCCCATACAATTTCTTTAGTCAGATCAGATACCCATAATGCCAGTGAAGTTTAGTGTATTCAGTGTACTTGCAATATAGACAAATGCGGAAATAGTGGAATGTAGTAAGCAGTAAAACCAGCAAATAGTAAAGTGCAAGGTATAAAGTAATATAACAAGAGTAATAAATCCTAAATGAAAGACCCGAGAGAGAATAACTATAACTTATTAAACATAAACATGGAGGTCAACTGTGATACTCCGATACTCCGACGGATCGGCGTATTCCGCCGTTCTCCGACAAAATAGCGGCGACCGGTGGAGCTCCGAGTCAGCGCTGCCCAGTCGCAGTAGCGCGATCGATCTCGCCTTCAAGTAAGAGAATCCGTGTTTTCATTGTAGGAGTTTTTCCTGTTAAATTTTCAGGGACAAATCATTCTTTCTTCCCGAATCTCCCGAATCTCGTCATCCTCGCCCTTGATTAGCAATCAACGCATCCGGAGTCTAAATTAGGACGGAGGTTACTACAAAAAGAGTCTATTACCGCCACTCTTGGTTTCCTCTCAATTGCACTCACTTACACAATGGGCTCTACGGAAAATGGACACTCTGTCGGTCGCCAGTTCGGCACTCTAGCTGTGCACGCTGGTGCGCCTCACGACCCCTCGACTGGCGCTGTCATTGCCCCGGTAAGTCCGTCGATAGAGCCTCACAAAGAAGGCGTACTGACAAGCCCCAGATCTCTCTGTCGACCACCTATGCTCAGACTAGTGTCGGAAACCCCGTTGGTGCCTACGAGTACACTCGCAGCTCTAACCCCAACCGGTAAGTTTCCAAGTCCCGAGGTTCAGCACACCGACTAATGCCGCAACAGTGACAACTTCGAGGAAGCCATTGCTGCCCTCGAGCACGCTAAATATGCTCTTGCATTCTCCTCAGGCTCCGCCACTACTGCGGTCGTTCTCCAGTCTCTGGCCGCTGGATCGCACATTGTCTCCGTTTCTGATGTGTACGGTGGCACTCACCGTTACTTCACCAAGGTTGCCGCCGCGCACGGTGTCGATGTCTCTTTCTCGCCTTGCGTTGAGCAGGAGGTCGAGCAATTGATCCGCCGCGAAACGAAGCTCATTTGGATCGAAACTCCCTCCAACCCCACCCTTGGCTTGGTCGATATCAGATTTATTGCCGATATTGCCCACCAACGTGGTATTCTCGTTGTTGTCGATAACACCTTTATGAGCCCCTATGTCCAGAATCCCCTCGACCACGGTGCCGACATTGTTGTTCACTCCGTGACCAAGTACATTAACGGCCACTCGGTATGTTTGCCCGCACGACCTCGTTCACTATCGTATCAAATCTAACCCAAATCCAGGATGTATGCATGGGCGTAGCCGCATTCAGCTCAGAGAGCTTGAAGGAGCGCCTCGGCTTCCTCCAGAACGCCATCGGCGCCGTCCCCTCACCATTCGACTGCTGGCTCGCCCACCGCGGTCTGAAGACCCTGCACCTGCGCGCCCGCGAGGCCACCAAGAACGCCACAGTGGTCGCAAAGGCGCTTGAAGCCTCTCCCCATGTCATCTCCGTCAACTACCCCGGCATTGACTCTCACCCGCAGCGCAAGATCGCTGTTAAGCAACATCGCGATGGTATGGGCGGTGGCATGCTCAGCTTCCGCATCAAGGGCGGCGAGAAGGCCGCGCACCTTTTCTGCCAGTACACTAAGGTCTTCACCCTCGCCGAGAGTCTGGGAGGTGTTGAGAGTTTGTGTGAGGTTCCTGCTGCAATGACCCACGCTGGTATTCCCAGGGACCAGCGTGAGACTGCCGGTGTCTTTGATGACCTTGTTCGCATGAGCTGTGGTATTGAGGACTCCATTGACTTGCACGCTGATGTGTTGCAGGCTTTGGATCTGGCTGTTGCTGCTGCAGAGAAGAATGGCAGCTCTTAATCTGCTTTGAATCTTTGGCTTGCTTTCAAAATAATCTAGACTTGCATGTAGATTGCATTGCTGCTGGTTACTTCGATATGAATTATGAGAATACATTTCCTTTTGCGTTATGACTGCCTATTTTCTTGAGATATTGTAGCCGAAAGCCCGAAATTAGACAGGCTATACATAAAAAAAAAAAAAATTACGATATGTTTAGTCTTCACGCCAGAATCCATGAAATTGATGCGGGCAGTCGAGCTTAGTCATCACATCGCCCACTGCAATTTTTTGTATGGAGGTTATGGAGATCGAATCACGACGTCGTTGATACATCCAAATCCTCGTTGATCATTTGCTTAAATTCAGAGCTTATATAAGACTAATGCAGTGTCTTGTTGCTCTGCTATCTTGAGCCTCAACACCGTTCACGACAACCAGGACAAACCTCTACCCACTACTGTCTCTGGTACAGAGATAACATTGCACTGAGACAACATGGCCTTCAGCTTTGGATTCTCAGGAGATGACATCGACATCGAGGATTCAGAGATCAATAATGATGTCTGCGCTGTCCCCTCTCAGCAGCATGTCGGCAACTCTCTTCCGGAGCTGGTGAGAGCGAGTAAACATGATATGAACGAATGGGTAAGTGGACAATCCATATAGCTATCCTCTGGCCATGCATTACATGTTCCTTTGCATTTCCCAAGGAGTTGAGTCAACATGTATATTCTATTCCAACCCTCATATGGGTCCACAGGATATGCCGATATGCCCCTCCAAAAAGTTATCTTGACACCATTGAGATGCATAAAACTTCCTGAAATACCCAAATGCTAACAATGACTGTAGCTCTCAATTCTACCCTCTCAAATCTCATACAACAAACTCAAAATCGGCGATACACCCGTGGTAATTGCCCGCCGAGAGATCTTCGATATCCGCACCCAGCTCATGGCCGAAGACAGCGCCGGCCACGACAATGAAGAGCTAATTGCCGGCATAGAAAAAGGCGACATCAAGCCCAATTTCTATGAAGGCGGGTTCAAGACGTGGGAATGCGCGCTGGATCTGGCTAAGCTTTCACTGGATGAGGATATTCTCAATGGTTTCTCTGATGGAATGCAAGATACTCACATCATCGAAGTTTGTTGCCACGTCCTTTTTCCCCCGAAACTCCCAAGTGCAGACTACTGACTTATCATGTGTATGAAAAACAGCTTGGCGCAGGCACAGCAGTCCCATCATTGACTCTATTTGCCCGCACTCTCAATGGTACTGGAAACACAGGAAAAACACACTTCACTTTTGCAGACTACAACTCCGACGTTCTGCGCCTCGTCACACTACCTAACCTCCTCCTGACATGGCAAAATAGCCGCCCTCAAACGGCTGTTTCGAGCACATCTACTGCACCCGACCAGGAAGAAGAGCTAGATATCACGCCGGAACTTATCGAAGAATTCAAGACTGATCTTGCGAACCGTGGCATCTCGGTGGATTTTGTCTCTGGTGCTTGGTCTGCTGAGTTTGTTGATTTGGTGTTTTCGTCTGGTGATGCTGCTCGCAAGACGTTGGTTCTTGCTAGTGAGACTATCTACTCACCAGCTTCGTTGACGGCGTTTTCGGAGACTCTTTTGGCGCTGCTGCGTCGGTCGAATACTGCGTCGACTAGGAGCCGGGCTCTTGTTGCGGCGAAGAAGGTTTATTTCGGTGTTGGCGGTGGTGTGGACGAGTTCCTTGCTGTGCTGGGTAATGTTTGTGGGAGTGAGTTGGATGTTCAGCAGAAGTTGGATGTTCATTCTGAGGGGGTTGGTAGGGTGGTTCTTGAGGTTGTGCCGTCTACTGCGCCATGAGGAGTGGAACTCGTTGATAAAATCAAATACCCAAGTTACATCACCTTCAAGTGTGTATCCAGTTCATAGGTGTGTAGTTCAAACAAAAGAAAATCCAATTATCAAATGCTGGATTGAACGTCAAGTCCCAACGTATATGTACATGTTTTTCCCTCCACACATGTCTAGAGCAGACAACCAAACAAAAAACAGAGGAAAATCTCCCCTCTAATCATAGAGAGACTTGCCATCCTTCATCCGCACAGCCCGAGCCTCATCAATCTCCTGGTTCTTGCGCTCGTAGTGAGCAACAACGTGGCTGAGGTCGACCCGCGAACCGGCGGCAAGGTTGTACGGTGAGCCGGTGTTCATCATACTACAAAGGAGAAAAAAGTCAGCAACAGCCCCGGAAATCAACAACAAAACCACCAGTCACGTACTCAGGCTGCTTCAACTCATAAGCCTCACGGGGACCCTGACTCTGAAGCAAGTGGCGGTCCTCAGCAGCCTTCTCCATAATAGCAGTGTGAATAGCATTGCGCTGCTCGAAAGTCTCCTGCGAGGGCGTCCACTTGCTAATGAGGCCGGAGATCCAGGACGGGGCGCCGGAGTCCTGGTTGGACTGGCTAACGCGGTAGAGGAGGTAAGCGGAGGCGAGGGAACCAACGGTAATGTAGAAGCTGCGCTGTAGAGTGTGAATGCAATTGTTAGCTCTTGTGTCTGTGGCAATTGAGGCTTTGCTCTCTCGCTCTCCAGGTTCGAGTCTGGTCGCGGTCGGTGGGGGAGCTTACGCCGACGCCTTCGTTCACAGGCTCGTGGGCGGCGTGCGAGCCCCAGCGGCGCTGGGTGCGCAGCAGTTGCCGCGTCGAGGTGGCAGATCGTCTGGCAGCGAACATGTTGTGGAGGAGGACAATTGGTGGTGGTCGATGACCCTTCGGGGAACGATGATAGGGCGAGGTGGAAAGCGAAAGTCGATGGCACGTGACTTACCGTTTGGGGTTAGGGCGAACCAGGATGTGAACGAGTTTCATACTTCGTCCCTTTGTCTCGCTGTGTTGGAGATCTTTGTTGTGAGATATGATATGTCTGTTATTTTCTTCTTTGTCGGATAGTATACTCATCAAATCTTGCCTGGTGTGGGATCCTTGATCAAATCCCACATCCCACATCCCAAATCCCAAGTCTCATATTCGCATGCTGTGTCTCCCCCTGTTCAGAGGCCGACTGATCAAAAATAATTCAGAATCCAACTGCAGTCGGGCTTGGCAAGCCGGCGTGAGAGAATAATATTGCCTAGATATGCATAGAAACCGGATGGACTAACTGCTCGAAACCTCATCTGGTAATGTGCTGTGTTGTCAATTGATCTACTGGAGAATGCCTCATCTTCATCCCAATGTATACTAATCAGGCGACATACAGGGATGTATCGCTAACTCATGCAAATCATATCTCGAATGATCATATCCCGAATGAACATGTCCAAAGATATTCGCTCATCCCCACATGCCTTACTGAATCTTAGCCCGAACCCACTTGATGCCCAATGTCATGGCGCACCCCAACTGGTTCTCGCTTCGGTTCAGAATGGAATCTTGGTGCGTTTAGGATATTCTGATTATTTCCATCTTTCGATATTTGAATATTTTGATATTATTTGTGCCCTTTCGTTCTTTGCGCTTTCATTGCTGGGTACAAGGTTCGGTCCGCGCCTTTGTGCCAAACGTTCGGGTGCTAATTTTCGAGTCTAGATAATTTTTTGTTTCTTTTCTATTTCTGTGCGTTGCAGCGTTCAAGAATAGAATTCTGATTTCGCCTCATATCTGTTATTGTGGTTCATTTGTGTCCACGCTTTAGTTCCAAATCACTGCCCGATCAGCATCCCCGGCCACTTGGCTTGCGCTATTAATTATTCTGGGGAATCTCACTTCCTCTCCCAACTATAGACCTTTGGGCTATATCTTGAGGCATCGCCAGGGCTGGTTGCAAACGTACAGTCACCCCATGAAGCATCTGACTATTACTCATGCTCGATTTAGCCCATTGATCCCATTGGTAACACGTCTCTCACATCTCGCATTTTCAAGCATTCTTGGGCACGCATCACTCATCCGCGATGGTCGCGGGCAAGAAGACCAAGGCCAAAGACAAGGCCAAGGCCAATGCGAAGAAGGTTAAGAAGGCAAAGAGTCCTGATGTCCCAGAGACAACTACAAACACTCCCACTCCTGGCAGCCCTGAACTTCCGGCGCAGGAAACTGACCAAGGCCCTGGGCCTGTTATTGCCCATTCTCCTGAGATAAAGACGCCTTTGCCTGTGTCAGCTTACGAGGTATTCGACGACGACGACGACGAGCCCCTTATTTCTGACCCTGTCACGAGTCAACAATCCCCTGTGGTTAAGACTGTGGCCCCAGTCGTTTCAGACCCTGTTCCAACCCAACAAGCTCCTGTGGTTGACCAACAGGCACCAGCTATCCCAAATCCTGTCTCCAACCAACAATCCCCTGTGACTGAGACTGTGCCGTTGGCCATCTCAGACTCTACCACGGATCAACCGTCTCCTAAAGTCGAGACAGACAAGCTTGACGAGAGTGTGCCGCCTTTGGGTGAGGCAACCTCGTTCCACCCTCCCGCCGACGACACAGAAGCCAAAGACGAAGAGCCTTTGGATGACCCAAGCAAGGAAGTCGAGGCCTCTGAACCACTAGTTTCAGCACCACCAGCTGATCCATTTTCTCCCGCTGCGGCCAGTGTGCCCTTGCCATCGCCGTCTTTAACTGAAGCACGGTTTATGTCAAGTCCATCTCAGGATAACTACTTATATCAACCTGCACCATCCGCGTATTCACCCTACGCTGCACCTATTCCATACTCTTCGCTTGTCCCATACGCCTCTCCAATCCCCTACTCTTCTCCAGTGCCGTACAACCCTCAAGCGGCTTACGGCTCACCCGGGCTATACGCCTCCCAAGTACCCTACACTGCCTCCCCAGTGCCTTACACTTCACCTGTGCCCTACCTTGGGCCTCCCTACGCTGGTTCTGCATACGCTGGCTCTGCATACGCTGGTTCCCCCTACGCCGGCTCTCCCTACGCCGGATCCCCAACAGCTTACGCCTCTCCGGTACCCTACACTGCTTCACCAGTGCCCAAAGTCAGCAGTCCCCTTGCACGTTCCCATTACGCCTATAAATCACCAAACATGTCCCCAACTGCAACACCACCTCCCCCATCCGCACCGATGGCTCCTCCCGCACCCCCTTCTGTAGCTCCTCCCGCGCCCCCTTCTGTGGCTCCTTCTGTGGCCCCGAGCCGCTCAGCTTCTGTCAACTCACCGGTGATGAGCTCTGCTGGAGCCATCCCTCCATATGGACAGTACTCTCCTCACTATTCTCACGATCCGCACTACATGCAGCGAAGCTACAGTATTCCGGACCCATCTTACGCGGCCTCATACCAGGCCCTCCAAAATTTGTCAATGGCCGGTCAGCCTGGTGAGAACGGAGCCTTGTCTCCCCCAGACAGTGACAGTGAGCACCTCGAACTTCTTCAACGGATCCAGTCTGCTATACCGGATATCAACCGCCTCCTGCATGGGTTCCGTAACACCCATAGCAAGCTGTCAACCCGCGAGGCGGAGATAAAGCAGATTGGGAACCAACACGAACAGGCTTTGATGCATAAGGAGTACTATATCGAAGCCTTGCAGTCCCAAATGAAGAAGACTGCAAACCAAAGCGCTGAAGAGGGATCCAAACTCAAGAACACGATCAATGAATTGCGACTGGAACTCGGAAATCTACAAGAGAAGCAGAAAGATCTCGAGGATGGTTTGGCTGTTCACCAGAAGTCAAACGAGGAACTTACTCAGACTAAGGTCCAACTCGAGGGGCAGATTGCGCAACTGAACACCGACATTCAAGAGGCAAAGGAGACTCACGAGAAAGAGCTGGAGAACCAGAAAGAAGAACAGGAAAAGGCTCTTGTAGCACAGAAGCAAGAGCTTACTGAGCTGTTCGAAGAAATCAAGAATGAGGATGAGAAGATCGCAGCGGAGAACCTCGAGACCCGTGAGCGAGAGCTTCGCAGTGAACAGGAAGCCGCCAAGGGCGAGTGGGAGAAGGAGAGATCGACCATGCAAGAGTCCTTAGAGGCCCAGCGCACCGAGCTGGAAGCGACCAAGACGGAACTGTCGTCCAAGATCGCGGACTTGGAGTCCAAGGAGAGAGAATTGGGAAGCCAACTGAGTGCGCTCACATCGACACGCGAGGAACTGGCAGCTAAGCTAGCCGAACTCGAAGCGTCACGAAAGGAAATAGAGGAACTGCACCAGAAACACGCTTCGGAGTCAGATGGACTTCGTGAAGGCCACGCAGGTGAATTGGACTCTCTACGAAAATCCCATGACGAGCAGGTCGCCGCTGCTGCCAAGGACCTCGATGACAAGATTGCTGCGCTTGAAGCTCACTTCCATGAGAAAGAGCAGCTTTGGGCCGAGCAGCGTGCCACTCTTGAGAAGCAACTTGCTGAGAAAAATGACGAGCTCTCAAGCGCCGAGCGAGAGAAAGAGAGGATGGAGGGAGATGGTATCATCAAGGAGCAGCATCTTCAGCGTGCTGTGAGTGAGATGAAATCGACCATCGATCACTTGGACCGAGACTGCGACAGACTAAGGAAGACGCTTCTCAGTCTTGGAGAGGCCACCGACCTTAAGAGCACCAAAGGCGATCAATTCTTGTGAGTGAGCCTTTGTAACCCATACTTTTCTTTCTCTTTTCCTTGTATTTCATGTCACTCTTTCTACATTTCATTTGTTTGAACTGCATCAGCGCGAAGGCGAACATACATTCTCTTATAAATTCTCATGTTGATAACGATAAATGGACACGATCTAATAAACTCTTCACCTCTAGTTTGGACTGCTTCAACGAGCTCTCGCAACTGATCTACGACCTATCCAAAGAACACTTCGCCTACCTCCCCATCGACCCACCAAAAGACATCCTCTCCAAGATCCCATCCGAAATCCCACCCTTCCTCGACAACACCCCAGCCTCACGCGAACTACGCTGCGCCTACATCCAGCACGTCGTATCCAAAACCATTACATACAGAGTCTTCCAACCCTTCCTCTTCACCCTAGGCCGACGCTACGACAAAGCAGACACATTCTTCCAAATGCTCTCAATGGACATCCGCCGCAAATCGGTCCGCCGCGAAGCCTTCTGGCGCCAACAAACCCTCAAAGCAGCCTACACAACCTCAGACGCCAAACAATCCATCAACGTCGCCGCAGCAGTCATAGTCGACGAAATCATAGACCACATCAAACACTTCGCCGACCCAAAACACCTCGACTCCCTCGTCACAGGCGTCCGCAAGATCGTCAAGCTAGCCGCCGAAACCTGGCGCCACGCCCGCGTCGAACGTGAACTCGTGCTGGCAACTTTCCCCGCCCCGGACGCAGACAGCATCTCCAACGAAGGCTGGCTGGAGTACGGTGTGAACTGTGAGCACAGCTATCCGCAGGGCAGCGAACCAACCCGCCATGTTGTGCTGCGCACGTTCCCGCGTATTGTGCGCGAAGCTGCGCATGAGGACTTTACTAGTGATCAGGAGCGGGCTAGCTCGTGTATCTACTCGCAGGGTGTGGTGTTGTACTCTGATTCGCCGGTGATTTTGGCGCGGCTGCAGGAGTTTGCGAAGAAGAAGTCGACTGATACGGTTGTCTCGGATGATAGTTCGACGGTCCATCCTAAGACGCCTAGACCTTCTAGGGAGGATTTGGTTGCTGCTGCTGTGGAGAAGTTGACGCCGGTTGTCAGTTCACCGCCGCGTGTTGCAACTATTCGGTCTGCTCCTACGAGTCCTGGTCCGAAGGGGCAGTTTGTGAGAGGTTGATTTGGGCTTCGATATGCTGGTTCTTTAGCGTTTAGTTCTTTTGTTTTGTTTTGCCTTTCTTTCTTTGGACCCTGGCTTCTTTGACTTGTGTTATTGAATCAGTTGTTTGGTTTCGATTGATACGCGTTCCAGCGGATTTGAACTTGATGTTTCTTTGATGTGTTTGTTTTATATGATGTTTTATACTCCTGTTTCAAGAATGTATGTATGTAGCCAATTTAGAGAGTTTTATACCGGGAAGTTGATGAATTGATAGCTCCTCAATCAGACACGATATGGCGAGGTTCCTCATGTCTTTCATATATCAGCCAGAATGCTGTCAATGTCTGCCACGTTTTCTTTCGATGACAGGACCTCAAGTTTCTCTCTGGAGGCCGTTGAGGTAGTGTAGGAGACTGAATCGGTAATATTTAGTGACATTTTTCTTACTCAGGGAGGTGGTCTAAAGGAAGACGTGACTTCTAATCTAATGACGTAGCAAGTAGGATTCAAAGCTATTTCAACTATTTGACTTGTTTGCTCGCGCCCTCTTGATAGCCAACTTATACCGAAGTTATTTCAGAAATGCCTAGATGTTTCGCATTTTGGTATTCTATCTCACACACTATGGTATATCCTTACCGTTCATGAGATCGCCCCTATTACATGTATTAGCTAGGAGCAGGATAAAGGGACCATACAAGTCGATAAGATGTAGACCAGCGTAGACGGCAAAATATATGTTCACGGAGGCGAATGATAGAATGTATATATAGAATCGACGCCAAAGTATGAAAGCAGGGTATTAATAGGACAGGCGAAGGCATCATCTGAATGAATGCACATAAACAGATCGAAAAAAAGTGCTGGTTAACTGCTTGTACATGGTGCATGAGCGGGTATCAAATGATTACAGCTTGGCGTCCGTTGCAATTGCCTTGCGGCGCATTTGACGCGAGGAGATATCCGCAGGGGCCGGTGCTGCGGCGTTCAAGAATAGCTGACGTCCAACGAGATCGGACATGGTCAGAACGCGAGAGGAAACCGTTGCACCGTCGCGGCGATTTTTGCTACTCAAAGTTAGTTACCAATTTGCAAACAGACGAATAGTTGAAAACTTACCCCTCGCGACGGGACTGGGCGATCAGTTCGGTAAAGTCCCACAGTCGTCCACCCTCCATCACTTTGCCGGTGTTAGGATCGCGGTGCGGAGCCCATTCAGCTGCGAGTCTTAGAGACGGGCCGACCCGTGATTCTTTGTTCTTCGAAACCAGAATGATGCCCTCTTCTTCGAATCGTTGATAGGAGTTCTTGAGGGTCTCTTTGTTGACAGCTTCGAAGTATGAAAGATCCCCTTGGTGATATAATGTTTTACCAAGCTGTGATTGTCAGTAAGTACGACTTCTTTTGATAAAGGACTGGAAAAACTTACGATCTGCGCACTGTCCTGTGCTTTTTTCGAATCAATCCAGATCTCCTTTGGACTATCCAGAGGCGGTGTCAGCCCAAGGAGAGACACCGCACCAAGCCAAGAGGCCTCAATGAAAGGCCAGATCAGGAAACAGTAGAAGTCATAGTTCTCACGACCGCAAAGCCGTTCAGCCTCGCTCAACTCTACGTAGAGTGGCGTGCTAGACTCATCCCGGGTGATCTTAATAACATCGTCCTTCTCCAACCCACGCAGGGTCTTGTCCAAATTGGCAGCCAAACCTTCAGGAGGGAAGATAAATTCACCGCGGAAAAGCTGGGAAAGGAACGAGACTTGGGTTTTCAAGGCCTCGTAAGTGATTCTTTGGTTGGCAGGCCCTCCACCTTGCTTGATCTTCGTATACATTGCCACAGAGACCAACGCCTCAGTGATAAAGAGGTGGATAACCATGTTGCGATAGAAGGAAAGCTGGAAGCGATCTACGGCGTAATAGGTAGGTTCAACCAGTCCCGAGATCACACCAACAAGTTTGGGCCCCAGAACATCCAGGGCACGATCGACAACCATTTCTGTCGGTGAACGATAGAAGTGTGCAACCCTGCCACCTTTGGCTCGGACTCGTTCGCAGAGCCAGTCCAATCTCCGTACCAGTTCGCCCTTTCCGACTCCACGGCCACGCAGAGTTAGGAGTACAGTTCCCACGAGAGCGGTCGGCATCATGACGGAGACATCGTTGATTTCAGATAGAACCCGGTAGCCAAATGTTCTAAGGATACGGCCATGGTCCGCGTAACTGAGTTTGTTATTGATGTTGGCGCTAGGCAAATCCAGGCGCGTAAGCTGTTGACCAATGAATTCTCGGAGACTCCATGGCTCGTGGAACCTGACATCGACTCGGCCAAGTTTCAGGGACAAGACGGAGGACGAGGATAGAAGATCGGCTAGGTTTTCCTTCGCCTTCGGCTGGCCAAGCAGCTCACTGATGTATGACCTGGAGAAGTTGTCAGCGTCAATTCCAAGTTGTCAGTGGGGTGCCATACTCAGTCTCAATGACTTTGTCGTATTGTGTGCTGACAGGGCAGATGATCGTGTCTTCAACTCGACCTGATAGCAAGCTGTCCATAATGAAACTCAAGATTCCGAACTTGGGTGAAAGCAGCTTGCCAGTTCTAGAACGGCCGCCTTCAATAAAGCATTCAAAGTTGAACCCTTGTTGAAGTAGAGTATCGATGTAGGCCTGTACAACAGTATTGTACAATGGGTCATTTCCAAAGCTCCGACGGATCCACATAGCGCCTATAAGAGTCAATAAAGCCCAATGCTTAGAATGTCTGCCGTCAACTGACCTGCGTGTTGCAAGAATGGGCCCAGCAAGGGAATATTCAGATTGTCGCCTGCGACCACAACTGGCAGGGCAATTCCAAGACGGTAGCAAATAAGTTGCAATGAAACATAGTCCACATGCGACTTGTGGCACGGTAGGAACACGATCGATTGTTTCTTCTTTGCGGCAGCATCGGCCACCGATCTCAGACGCAAAACCTCCTCGCTGGACACATGAATGCCTATAGACCTGGCTTAGTATTCCGTCCGCAGGGAAGTAGACATAGCGCAAGCAACTTACCTTGATGGTAAGCGCGAGTCAATAGTTGGGTGCACATGTAATAAGCACCCCGAATGAACTTCTTGCTTTCCATTTTGCAGATCATGTTGTCCATCATCGTGTCCACAACTTCCCGAAGATTGCCTTCAAGCTCAGTCCTCCGACGAGCGCGCTTGTCGTCGAGTGTTGCGCCATCCTTGATTGCCAGCAATCCTTCCTTCTCTTCTACCGTAAGCCGACGATTCGCTAGCTCGGTAACCTTGTTCTGTAGGAGCGGACTGGCCAAAATAGAGGTCTTCATCCTTTCGGAAAAGCCCGAATAGAATATTGGTTGGCCGATAGCATCGTCATAGGCACGCCAGCCTGTCCCAGACATGTACAAGCTCACTTCGCGGAGGAAATCGAAGGGGTTCTCGCGGAATCGCGCCATGTGGCGGACAAGATTGCGCTCGGTCATTTGATCATCTTGTGTTTCGGGGCCTCCGGTGAAGCCTGAGGGATGAATCGTTAACTGGTCCTTGACGATCTCTAGGTCCGGCGCCGAATGGTCATCGGCGACAGCCGGTTTAGGGGGCATCTTGTACGGGTATAACGCGGGGGAAGGTTCCTGGGGTCAAATCATAGAAGCGTCAACTCCATTGACGAGAAGATAAAGTAGAGGAATGAAGTGATTCTCTCAAAAGCGGAGATATGGGAGAGGCCATAGCTAAGCTATTAACAATAAACGGCCGATCCCCGGATGTCTCATGTTTCCCCATGGAGCCGAGGCAGGTCACGTGGTGAGCTCCAGCTTACATCGTACTTTTGATCTTTGTGCATCTTCGTCAATTTTCAAGGGAGGGAACACACTCAATTCCTCCAAGATGTCTCGTCTCGTCAATGGAGTGAAATCTTTCTCATGTATGTGTCTTATAGCTTAAATTGCTACCTCCATATAAGCTTACCTTCTTCCCCCACCAGCGACAGCTTCGTCCCTCCTTGCCGATGCAACTGCGGCTTCTCAAACCGCCCGCCAACCATCTTCGTTCCAAGTCTTCCGCGATGTTCCCTCGATCCGTGGGCTGCGACGCCAGTTGCTTAAAAAGGACCGCACCGTGGGTTTTGTTCCCACCATGGGCGCTCTTCATGAGGGCCACCTTTCATTGATTCGGCAAGCAGCACGCGAGAACACAGATATTTTCGTGAGCATTTATGTCAATCCCACACAGTTCGGAGTGACGGAAGACTTGTCAAGTTACCCCCGTACCTGGGATACCGACGTGGAGAAATTGGAGAAGCTGAACGAGGAGCTGGAACGCCTGGGAGAAAACAGTGCTAGCGCGGGACGTATCACAGCAATTTTCGCCCCGACATCCAAGGTGATTTACCCCGGTTTGCCTCCCTCGTCCGAAGTCGATGGCCATGGCTCGTTTGTTACCATTACCCCGCTCTCTACAAAATTGGAGGGTGGCTCTCGACCAGTGTTCTTCCGAGGTGTCGCAACTGTCTGCATGAAGCTTTTCAACATCACAACCCCCGACCGTGTCTATTTCGGCCAGAAAGATGTGCAGCAGACCGTGGTCATCAAGCGCATGGTGGAGGATTTCCACGTGGGCACTGAGGTGCGCATTGTGGAAACCACCCGTGAATCTGATGGCCTGGCATTGAGCTCACGGAACGTGTATCTGGGAGACCGGAGGCGATCCATTGGACTCACTGTCTACAAGTCTCTTAAGGCTGCAGAAGATGCCTATCTGGCTGGTAAGACCAGCCGGGCAGATATCCTTGGAGCTGCAAACAGTGTGGCAGATTCTGTCCTCTCTCAGCAGCAAGGTCTGTCACCGTCTGAGAGGGCACTCTATGAGGTCGATTACATCTCCCTTGCGGATCCCGATACCCTCGACGAGCTGGATATCGTCGACCCGGCTAAGGGAGCGGTCTTGAGCACTGCATTCAAGATGGCACCATTGGAAGAATCCAGGCCTGATGAGGACTGCGGATTGGGAGATGGCAAGGTCCCAGTGCGATTGATTGACAACCTCATTCTGCATCCTCGTGCTTGATCAATATCGAGCCCTTAGTAAATATGTAGCATAGCGCAGGTCACTTCATATAGAATCAAAATAGTACGCTTTACTTAACATAGAACAACGTGGCCCGCACGGCGATTCAATAACTATATTAAATCTCGCTATGATAGATCAATACCAGCACAAATTTGTATCGTTAGGGTAGGATCTATGATGTACGGATGCCTATATGATAACAGTACACCCTGGCGCCTATGAGATTGACCTATACGCTAAATTAGGATCAAACAAAAAGTATTGAATCAAACAAAGTAAAAGGAATCAAAGCAAAGTAAATAAAATAAAGGAAACAAAAAGTAGCTAGGAATAAAAACAATAAAAAGGAGAAACCTTCACACGTTATATGGGAAAGTAAGGGCCCGAACCGCGATTCGAACGCGGGGCCTCTCGCATAAGAGTATTTTACCATGAGAATTGTTGTGAAACAATTTCATAATTAAGCCCAAAGCGAGAATCATACCACTAGACCATCCGGGCGACGATGTATGGAACGTAAATTTCTGGTGTAATCGTGTTCGAAAATAAAATTCGCTTTAAAACTACCTAACTTGTGGTGTAGACAGAACTTTACTTTCTTAGGCATGATTGTTTAACAACAAAATAACTTAAAAAAATTGAAAATTATCCTCGACTAGATTATCTAGTGATAAGACATTGTTAATGTCTATTAAGCCTATAACAAACAGTCACGCTGTTCCTAATAGGGGATATACTTTAGGTACTTAGATACAATGAACCGCATGTCTTAGAAAAAGTAAACATGGTAGGTTTTCTTAGTGGATATTTATGGATATAGATGATACAGCCAAACATCGCTACAATAGGTCATAACTTGCACAGGGAGTTGTCCGCTGTAGCGAGGATTATACACGGTTATTCCTGCACATGTAAACTAGCATAGGTCATATGCTTCCGTTATATCATTTGCTCTTTGTCTATATTTCAAATTTGTCGAAGGGTTTAATCCGAGGAGTCTATAGTAGGGATTTGATAAAGCCCGAGTAGCCATGAATTCGTTAGAATATATGGCGAAGGATGTCTATACGGCCTAATGTGTTTAAACGTGTTAAATGGAGGAAGCCGCTACCTTCGGGTAGGCTGTAGCAAAGCTTTTCTGTATTAATGACAATATTGAGCTCTAATAAACCAACAGAACTAAGCAAAAGAGGACAGAAGCTTTGTATCGCATCTCAAACATCTCTGGAAAGTAGGGCAGATCCTTAGGGCGGAGAAAATTTGCTGGAGCCGTGAAAGTCTTGGCGCGGAAAAAAAGTCTCAGCGTCAACCGCCTTAACCAAACCCTCCAACTCCCCCATTTTCAAGGGACTGTCTTTCAAAATGGCTGACGATGGCATGCTTATGAACTTCAGCATTGCTGACACTGTCATCAAGCCCGAGGCAAAGTTCAAAGGTGGAACATGGCGAGACCGATTGGTAGCCAAGAAGCGTTTGGCGCATCGAGGCTCGGAGAAAGACCCCAAAGACGCAGCTGCACGCAACGCAACTTCCAAAAACCCAAACCAAATTCAAATCGGCCCGCGGCCTGCTAAACGTCAAAGGACCGAAGAGTCTTCTCATCGCTCCGGCGGCGATCGACGCCCACACCAGACCCCGCGAGACCCCCGTCACTTCGTTTCCTCGCTTTTCACTAGCAATCCCGAACCGCGCAATGCCGAAGAACCCAAGGCCGAGGGAGAGCAAGAAGACGCAAAGCCGACCAACGCTCCGCTGATCGACGGCCTGGACACTTTCACGAACCTGGGATTGTCGCCCAATCTCGCGGCGCATCTGCTCACAAAGCTTGAGCTCAAGGCGCCGACGGCGATTCAAAAGAGCTCTATTGGGCAGTTGATGAAGGAGGAAAGTGATGCGTTCATCCAGGCCGAGACAGGTTCCGGTAAGACGCTGGCTTATCTCCTTCCGCTCGTGCAACGAATTATGGATCTCTCGAAAGTCACAAAAGAACATAATGACAACCAAGTCCACCGTGACAGTGGGTTGTTTGCCATTGTACTGGCGCCTACTCGCGAACTGTGCAAGCAGATCTCCGTCGTGCTGGAGAACATTCTCCGATGCGCGAACTGGCTGGTCTGTGGTACGGTAATTGGTGGAGAGAAGAAGAAGTCGGAAAAGGCTCGTTTAAGGAAAGGATTGAACATCCTTGTTGCGACACCCGGTCGTTTGGCTGACCATCTCGACAACACGGAAGCTTTGGACGTCAGCAATGTGCGTTGGTTGGTGCTGGATGAGGGTGATCGCTTGATGGATATGGGTTTCGAGGAGGAGTTACAGGGAATTGTTAAGAAACTGGACGCCAGACAAAGACCGAGTCGTGTTCCCGGTGTGCCTACGCGCAGAACTACGATCTTGTGTTCGGCGACATTGAAGATGAATGTGCAGAAGTTGGGAGAAATCAGTTTGAAGGATGCGGTACACATCAAGGCTGATCCGGAGGACGAGGATGAGAATGCGCCAAAGAAGGATGAGGAGGACTCATTCCGCGTCCCAGCACAGTTGAAGCAGTCGTACGCGATTGTTGCACCGAAGCTACGTCTCGTTTCATTAACAGCCTACTTGAAGAGGACGTTCATTCGAAAGGGATCGGTAATGAAGGCAATTGTCTTTATGTCTTGCGCCGATTCCGTCGACTTCCACTTCGAGCTATTTTCAAGGAACCAAGACCGAGAGCAACAAAAGAAGGATGAAGAGGAAGGAGACAAGGAAAAACCGGACGAAAAAGAGGAATTGTCACCCCACGGCACCATTGCTCCCGGTAGAGCCTTTTCCAATCCAGGAAATCCGGTCCTCTTACATCGTTTACACGGCTCCCTCCCCCAGAATGTTCGAACCGCCACACTTGGTTCCTTCTCTCGTAGCACCGAGGCCTGCGTCATGATCTGTACCGATGTGGCCGCCCGTGGTCTTGATCTCCCCAACGTGGATTTGGTCGTTGAGTACGATCCAGCCTTCAGTTCGGATGACCACACTCACCGCATTGGTCGTACAGCTCGTGTCGGACGAGACGGTCGCGCCCTAATCTTCCTCCAGCCCGGCTGCGAAGAAAACTATGTCGAGATTCTCAAGCGCGGCTACCGCGATGGAGGCAAAGCTCTCACCCGGACTGATGCCAATGAGATTCTCAAGCGCGGCTTCGGAAGCAACGACTCCAGAAAGAAGAACTGGGAGGAGAAGACTACCGATTGGCAGATGGATGTAGAGCGCTGGGCTCTGGAGAATCCTGAATACCTGGAGATGGCCCGTCGGGCTTACCAATCTCATGTTCGCGCATACGCGACGCACATTGCTGCTGAGCGGAGCATGTTTAACATCAAAGAGCTCCACTTGGGTCATCTTGCAAAGAGCTTCGCCCTGCGTGACCGACCAGGCAAAATCAACGTCCCTGGTCTACGACCTGGGCAGGAAGACACCAAGAAGGACTTCAAGGCGGCGCGCAACGGTGCCGCAGGTACCAAGAGGAAGGCTGGCGCTGAGGACAAGGCTCCAGGCACGACGGATCTGGATGATGCTGCTCGCAAGATGAGAGCCAAGATGAGAGAGAACATGGCCGGAGCCAGCGAGTTCAACTTGGCTTGATCTGTTTCTGGCTTGGCATCTCATTCGTCTCAAAAAAAGCATGGTCATATGGTTGTTTATAGCATTAGCATTTATCTCAGTAGATATCCCATAATGAAATCTTCCCATCCTTGGAACCTGCCGCTAGCCAATGAGTCTGCTGTACTTTCTGATTCCGTTGTTGCTGTACATTTGCGAGAGAGTAGTCGCGTGCAGCAACTGCCATTTGGCTTGCAGTTGAGGACTCCTTCTCTGTAGATCTTGTAGATAAAGATGTTTCAATCTCTCCGAAAGCCACAGCATAACATCCATCTTTGTGCCACTTGAGCACAGCCAGCTCTTTCATTGTTTTCCCCGAGTACACCCGTACCCTACTATCCCAACCGGCAGTAGCGAATACCTTCCCATCAGACCGGATGCGCAGACCCTGCTGACCCGAGTGTCTGGTGTTAACAACCTGCAAGGGAGATTCCTCCTTATAGCCAGCCGTAGGAATGTAACCAGCAGACGCCAGACTGGGAATGGGATGTTTGACAATCAAGGCATCAGCAGAGGAAGAGATAAAATGCGTGTAAGAAGCCGAGACGTCAAGGGAAAGAACCGGCTGGGTATGAGGACGGCCGGCATAAAGCCTCTCCCATTTCAAAGGATAGTTCTTAATGTGTTCGATCTCAAAACTGGCCGTCTTCAAAGCACCACGATGAGCGTAAACCATCACATGGCCATCCTCATATGCTGAAACGACAAACAGATCCCCAACAGAAGTCACGAATATATTGACAGCCATCAGCATTCCAGTCTTCGTCGATGAATCAGATGGAATAGTGCTGATCCGGCGCTCGGATGGTAGGTGGAAGATATCGACGCCGCCAGAGTCCAAAGCATTGGGAACTGCAAACAATGTATTCTGTGGTTTTGCAGATTGCGATGGATAAACAGGAAGCCCGTCCATATTGACAAATGTCATAGAGAACGCGCAGAAATTAAGCGCATTCACGGGCATGGCATGTAGCAGCCATGGCTGAGTCTTACTTCCCTCCTGGGCAGGACCACTCATGTCGACCGGAAGTGTCTTGTCTAGAAATGATTCATCCTCTGATCGAATCTTCCAGACGCAGAGCTTGTGGTCGCGGCCATGCCTGTCGTAGATGGGTTAATATAGTGTGGTCAATTAAGACGTGCTGGATTAGGACAGGATAGGGTCATCTCACGTGTAAATCTCGGTTATGCCCGAGTCCAGGTTAAACCCTTTTACTTCTAGCACGGCACCTGCGTGCGCCTTCCAGACTGTCACTGGGCGTTTGGTGACCAGGTCCCAGATCACGATCCAGCCGTTGGCGTCGCCGGATACAAGGCGCAGGTTCTGGTTGTAGATGTGTAGCGCGTGTATTGGTGCACCGTGCCCGCGGAGGATGTAGATTGGCGTGGCTGGAGATTGAGCCTGGGCTGATTTATTCTCCATCTTAGCTGTTTGGGCGTTGATGTTGATATCTATGAGCTGGTGGTATTGCGGTTAAACGGGGAATTGCCCGTTCACACCGCCATCCTTGTGTGCCAAATTTTGTATCGTTGTCATTAATCATATACGATAATATATTTACATATAGAATCTGTTACAGCTTGTCGAGGCCGGTAAATGAAGGTATGGATTTCTTGTATACGGCTCAATTCGACCAAAAACACAGTTATGTTGTGAGCATTATAAATTTCGTGAGAGGTTTTACCATAGGCCCCTGGCTAGCATCAGAAAACTACTTTTGAACATTCATATCATATTGACTGAGTAGGGGAAGAAACCCAACAAAACATTTCATTATTCATCAAATTTTGGATCATCAGATCAGATATGCACCATAGTCATACTGATCGAGTGCATGGTGATGGTGAGGTGGTACATAATATCCCTGATACGGATGATTCTCCATTGAAAAGTCCCCGGTTGTCGTGAGTGGGTTACATAGATCCGAAGATGAACCAGACGCTTCGGAGATTGCTAGCGACGGATCGAGTTCGTAGTAGTGGTTGTGCATTTGGGCTGGGGTAACAGTGTGCGGGTGAGCATCAACCCAGCTCCAAATCCGCCTTAGATCATCTTTGACCGATTCAACGTTGGAAGTAGTAGTCTCGGCGATAGCATCAAAAATGGCAATCACTTCTTCTTGGGCCGAGCGGGCTTCTAGACATTCTGCAGCGATTGCAAGACAGCGTAGTGAGATATCGGAAAGACTTCTGGGTGATAATGCGTCAGCACCATTGATGTGAGTAGCGCGCAATGAGCCTTTGAACTAACCGGTCCTTGGTACATGCGATGAGGCCGCAAATTTCGTGTGCGTGGGTTCTTTGCATCTCACGCATGTCTCCATCGAATTCTGACTGCAGAGGGTTTGACTTGGATAGCAAAATTCGCGTCACATGGTAAAATAGCCGAGCAACAGTCGCAGATCGTTTAAGAATCCTGAAAGAAATCAGTTGGTGTACATATTATACCGAGTCCAACATGAACGGGAACCTACATAACCTCCGGAAACGCGGATTTGGAGTTTGTCTGCCAGGGCTGCAAGTACCCAAGAGGAGCCATCGACTTGGGGGCCGATTTCTCCCAATGATCGCACCAGCTGTTGTAAAGACTCCATTCCTGGAATCGATTGTTGAGCTGAGCCGTAGCTGCATCGTTGCTCAAACCCTGAGATTGACACAACGATGTTTGGAAGATGACGACCTTTGCACAGATATAGAGGATGCGATGAGACCATGAATCCTCGCTGCTCCCACCGGGAGTGTGGCAATGGTCCATGTCCATATCAATCCCCCAAGTGCTTGGATCCCAGGACAGACTCCAATTATATCGTACACAATTAAGTAGCTCTGCGCTGATGCTGATTCTGAAACACGCTCCACCGAGCCCTGGAGTTTTGGAAGTCCAGCCACATTCTCGAATCAAAGCTCGCGAGCCTGCGATATGGACTTTCCGACTTGAGGATAGCTGTGACATTGTTTCAAAGAAGCCAAGAACCAGGGCCGCTACTGCACATAGAACAGAGTCACGATTAGAATCATGGACGGAGTTTAACAGATCCTGGGTAGCCTCATCGTAGAGCTGCATGGCCTTTCCGTCCTCGTGAGAAGAATCTACAAGGGAAAGATGTCTAGCGCCGCACGCTAGGAGTGCCTTGAGCAGCATAGGTTCGTCGAGGGCGTAGTACGGAAGAATATGGGTAAACTATTCATCATTAGAAATCACTCGAGACGATTTAGCAAGGGTGACAAACATGGTTCATTGCATCCATCGCATCCAGCCTGGGCCCAACGTGTTCGACAAAAGCACGGAAAAGAAGCATTCGGTCAGGATCTGCGATGAAAGAATGACTTCCCTCATTTTTTGCCAGTTTCCGCGCGAAGTTGGATGTCCCATGCGGAAGGAGTTCATCTCCTGGTACCAGATGAGACTGCTGCCAGACATCGGTTCCAAAATCTGCGTTGCCTGGGTTGGAAACATCAAAATCTAACGGATCGAAAGAATGAGCAACAGATTGGAAAAGACTCGTCAGGTCATCAGGCCCCATAGCCTCGAAGCTATGGTGTAAAAGTCTTTGCTCTTCAGCAGGACTTTCCGGCTGAACGGGTGGGTATCTCTCGAACCCTCCGACATATTCAGACGCGATCAAGCGCGAATCATCGCGAAATGTCACTTTGGCACCATGGGGTCGAGCGACAACATGTGGAGGCGCCACATTTTGAATATCAATAAAGTTGAGGCGAACACCACGTCGACAGATGCGGTTCGACTTGCGACAATTATGACACCGTCCTAAGGCCTCGTCGCACTTCAGATGTCGTTCGCGACAAGTCAGGCAGCCCGTGCGCACCCTCTTCGCTTTGGTGTCTGCAATGCCCGCGGTCTTCTTCCGGCGCGGACGTGGTGTACTTTGTGAATCGCTTGTCTGGCTTTTTGGAGTCGATGTCTTCGAGTCGACTGTAGGTGATCGCGCCTGCGATTTCGCAGATGTCCGAAGATTCATTTCCATCTAATTGAAATTGGTGCCCTTTTGATTTGAGCTCTGGTCCAGACCTGTCTCTAGTCTCCGGCGCCGACTTGGGTCCGAACCGAAAGAGGAGTCCCGAATACACAAAATGACCTTGTAGATTTCACTCGACTGGCCATGTTCGATATTGGCAGTTGTAGTAATTGCGAGTGGGGAATTTGTCGAGAGGAAGGCGATCGTCGGAGCTTGCGATTCAAGGGCTTGAATCTAACAGCCAGCGTGCGCAAACAGGGAGGTGCTCGGCAGATAAATCGGTGTTCTAGGAAGATCGTCAGCTCAAGGATATCCCCCGAGAAAAGAAAAAGTACTCACCAGCCGATGCCAGCACAAATATGTGTGTCGCGGGGAAGTGGATGTCAAGGTCCGAAGAGAAAAAAAGGCCGGCCCGCTTTGCCAAGATCCCCATGTATATGGAGTACGCATGTTTGCCTACATACGTTTAAGTACACTTTATGATTATTATAGTCCTCTTAAATTCAGGTTATTTTTATAGACCATCATTGCTTGCCAAGTATATAATAGATATTATCTACGCACTTTCCTCGCCAATCGAGGCAATTGGACTCGGCAATGTAGAATAAATAGAACAGTCACCCAAAGAGCCACAGACATGAAAGTGACACGAAGAGCAGCGGCATATGAGTTGATGACTGGGAGGCTGTCAGAAAAGATAATAAAGTGGTCAAGGGCAGTCAAGCATACCTTCCAACCGGTGAACTGGATCCAACTCCGCAATAGTCTGACGGACTTGCGAACCACGGCGACAATATGCCCTTTCTCAATGCCTGTAACTCTATACTCGAGTTGATATCGAAAGCAACACAACCTACTGGCTCAGCTGAACCTATGCATGCAGAAAAAAAAAACAACATGTATATCTGGATGATCTTGATAGATCCATCTACTGTAGGGCTGGTTTGTCATCGACCTCGGCCGATAAGAGATACTGTAGACACCCATGGACCATACAGACTTCTTTCTTTACCTTTGCGCTACATGAACTCATGAACTCTGCATACATCTATCTGCGACCCACACAATGCATTCGCCCCTCCGTATTGCCGTGTTAGAATGCGACACTCCTCTTGACAACATCAACCGCCGCTACAACGGATATGGCGGGGTATTCCGCGCCCTCCTTACAGCCAGCGCGAAAACATTAAACCAACCGGAGAAACTCAACCCAGAGACTGGTATGGAAATCACAGCATGGGACATTGTGAATGACAACAAATACCCAAAGCTAGAAGACGTCGATGCCGTGCTTCTAACAGGTTCAAGTGCGGAATGACTCAGACAACCCGATGAGCTCAAGCTTGTATACTAACAGCAATCGGACCCGGACAGGACATAATTCATTTGAAGATATCCCCTGGATCAACCGCCTCGTCGAATTCACCCAACAAGTCCTCGCCCAGGACCGAGTGCGCCTACTCGGCATCTGCTTCGGACACCAGATCGTTGGTCGCGCACTAGGCGCCAAGGTCGGACGAAGCGACCAAGGCTGGGAAATTGCCGTGTGCGATATGGACCTGACAGATAAAGGAAAGGAGCTATTTGGGCGGGACAAGATCGTAAGTTCAGTTCCTGTCTGTCCGGAAGTCGTAGCAGGCTTCCGAAATATGCAGTGCAATGCCACGCAGAACGCTGACAGGGTGTGAACAAATAAACAGCGCATCCAGCAAATGCACCGGGACATTGTTTTCGAATACCCTCCAGATGTCACTCCGTTGGGTTCTTCCCCGCGCTGTGCTGTGCAGGGCATGTATTCGCCGCGCCGCTTTGTCACTGTTCAGGGTCACCCCGAATTTACTGGGGACATCGTCACAGAAATTATTGAAAGCCGGGCTAAGAGCGGTATATTCAAAGAGGCCCAGGGTAAGGATGCATTGAGCAGGGCTCATAATGAGCATGATGGTGTTGCTATTGGTGCGGTGTTCCTGAAGTTCCTACTCGAGGACTAAAGCAGGAACAAACATCCGATGGGACAAGGCACTGTACTACTTTGGATCTCAATTTTGAATTCTGCCTGGTCCCGATTGTGTGATGGGCTCGTGGGGCCCCTTCAGGAGGTTTGAGATAGAGATATTACATAGATCTAGCCTTTTGTACATATTTAGACTAGCATGGCCTTGGAGGTCAACGTAATGCGATTGAACCTACTTCAACTTCTTACTACCCTGTGCCTACGAGATATCACCGACACCCGATACTGTCCTATGAGCGAACGATGAAACTGAACTGGTTATGCCTGTCATTCAATAAAAAATGTGTTTCCAGAGCAAGAGGAAGAAGCCAAGTAGCAATCAGTATCATTGTCATAAATGCATGTCATGTTCTATTGAGGAAATGCACCAGGCACCCTCATGCAAGTTTATGCCAGAAAGAAAGAAGAATAGGAAAAGGAACGCCCCGTTCCACATAGCCACGCAGGCCGCTGAACCCCGTAGGGAGATGCAAAGATGCCAACAAAACAGGGGAAAGGCCAAACGCTCCACCCACTAACGCCATTTCCATGCAAGTTTGAATCGCTGAAAATGCAAGGTCTGACCGGAGACAAGAAAGACAAGTAACAAACAAATAAATCAGAGTGGTCGGGAGGAAATTCGGCCGCTGCGACGCGGGTTTGCCTTTCCGTCTGAGTCCGATTGCTCCGGGGTTGTGTTACCAGGGAGGGAGAGGGGGTCTGTGTTCTGACCGTTTTCTGTTTCGGATTCCATCTATGTCCATGAGATGTTAGCGAAGAGTACGACGGAAGGGGGGAGATTGAGGTTATATGTGGATACTCACGCGAAGATTCAAAGAGACGAGCTCGTTTTGGTCATCTCTGAATGATATCCCAACTCCCAAGGTTAGGTTGGAAACAATTCGCCGCTTGGGTCGCGTTCGACGAGCTGGACGTGGATCCTCTGAGTCGTCACTGTCTTCTGCGGATCGCTTGCTCCCAGTGCTGAACGGGGAAGAAGACCGTGATGCCTGTAAGCTTTGCTTGATAGGAAGGCCTGGAGCAGCCTTCTTGTCGAATGGCACATCGGTATTTTCGTCAAGCAAGGCAGCAAATGCGCGGTCGATGTCACCTCGGCATTTTTGAAGCATGTCCACGATCGTCTCGCGGTCATAGCGGCCACCAAAGCACTCTTGGATGGATTTGATATCCCAGGGGGGATAGAGGTCAACGGCCAAGTCGGTGTCGGTGGTATCAGGGCCACTAGGAGTATTGCCTGCGATGACGGGTATGTCTTTACAGTCTTCTGCTAGTTTCCTGTCTACGTCGGGCTTGATGTCTTCGCTGAGTTGTGGGATGATATTCACGCCACTGAGAAGCCCTTTGTGTTGGCCATTGATACGCCGCACGGAGGAGTAATGTTTAAAGTCCTGTGGTTGTTAGCCCATAGCCCAAAGGCATCAGAAGAAAGCAGACCACGTACGTGGAAGGCGACGTGAAGTACATCTCGGGGTTGATCGGGAAGGGCATTGACATCTCGAAACACCTGGACTCCGTCCATGGTGTAAACATTCAGATCGACTTGGAAGACCTGACAGAATGCCTGGAGATGCTCAGAGCTAGCCCATTCTCCGTTCTTGCGAGTGGTCGCGATCATGTCCTCGAACCGACGCTCCTTGTCCTCAAGAGACGGGGTTAAAATATCGGCAGAACGCGTAGCATACGCGGATACAGCTGCACGTTTAGGCCGACGGCGTTCCCCACCCTCTGCCACGACAAACTGCATGAAGTATTTCTTGTTGTTGGCCATGTGGGTGGCCAGGCGCTGGCGTATCTCGTCGGCATGGTGGGTGATGCCGTACAATTGGTCGGAGAGGGAATAATAGAGGCAGTTGCCTATGATTTGACGCGTCAGAAAGGGCAGATATCCATTTGACAGCTTGCAACGAGCGCTCTAAAGCTTCAACGAGTGACAACAAGCGTGACTAGCTTACCATCTCCCTCGGTAGGTAGAGCAAACAGGCCCCGTTCTTTCAAACAGGGCATTTCCAAGCTTGCGTGGTCCATGGTGGAGTTATTCTGTTGTGTTTTGGCCAGCAGCTCAGCCTGCTGGTCCTGCAGCGGGTCGGCCGTCTGGGGAAGCTCCTCTTGCACTTGGTGTTCATGACCCGTGAGTATGGGCACGATTCTGCCACCGTGAGTAAGGTGAGACATATTGAAGGTACTCGACTGAAAGTCGGCATTGGTCAATTCAGAAAGGAATCAATAAGGCTATCTAGGGAAAGATAAATCAAACCCGCAGAGGTGAATCGGGCGCCCTGCGGGTGGTTTGAGAAAGGAAATTCACCAATTCTCGCAGATTTGAGTGCCGATCGAGGCGGTGAATGCTGGTGGGTGGTGATTGGTTCCACGTGAGCAGTTTCCCACTATGACATACGCGACTTCTGCTCTACACAATGGGCCTCTAGGGATTCAATTACTATTTATATCCTTTTACTTCTTTGTTCTTTTTTCCTCTCAGTTCCCCCTGACCATTGATGGTATAATAAGAGTCAAGTGAGTGGGCGAGGAGTCAGATGTGATGGATACACTCACTATAGTGGAGTCTGGAGGGATGGAGAACGCGGGACTTTACGGAGTCTCCTTACTGGGCCCAGATCCTGAGACAGCATGGATTTATTGAATTGAATGAAAAGCAGGGGATTGTTGAGGCTTCAATATAACAGGAACCATTCTAGCAATTATATACAGAGTACAAGGTACTGATTTACATGTACTGTTTTGTCTGTATTTCTATTGGATGGCGCCCTGTCATGCTTTTGAGATTAAAGTTACTTGTATTAAGAAGATTTACAAGGGCCGAGGGAAACCAGCTCAGTTCCAGTATAATGCAAGTTATAGACTAGGGAATACGTACTTGAGAAACATAAAACATATAGCATTACTCGGTGCTCTATATACATGTACTGTAGCTGTAGCAAAAAGAACAGCAACCTTGGAATCGAAACAGTGCGGAGGCGTTTTTCATGTTACTATGTATCCACCGCATCCCCACCGAGAAAACTTAGCTTGTTTGCTTTTTTTAAGAGATTTGGTTGGTTATATGCCCACACCGCCTGAACATTACATACAAACAAACAATAAATAATTAGGCCAGAGCCCTAATTTCGAAACATGGGGCTGGGAATGATGTGTTTGAGTCATACAGCCTAATTCTAGAGTATATTACTAATAATTGCCCGGATGGTCTAGTGGTATGATTCTCGCTTTGGGCTTAATTATGAAATTGTTTCAGAACAATTCTCATGGTAAAATACTCTTATGCGAGAGGCCCCGCGTTCGAATCGCGGTTCGGGCCCTTTCCATTTCTTTTTTTTAATCTTCTTTTTTCTTTTTAATTATCGTAACTTATTACTTTTGTTGTTTTTAGTTTACTCCGTGGATCGATCATTGAGAGAAATGACATAATCCAGATTACCCGTGCTAAGTTAGTAAAAGGGTTGTAGCGACAAAAAAGCCCCACAACCCGAACGGCTTATCGAATGTCCCTGATAACGCCCCCTCACGCCCCCCGCCTTGACTTCGGATCTTAAAGGGGAGCGAGACTTTCTTTCTTATTTTAATGTCTTGACAACAGATCAACATTGGGGAAACTAAGCGAAACACAGAATGGCAGCAAACAACATCGTGGTTTTGGGGTAAGACCCTCTAGCTCCGCAGCAAATGGTGCATTGAGCCTCTCACTGACTTGTAGGTTAGGGCCGGTGTGTCTGGCTTGACTACTGCGTATCTGCTCTCGCAGGACCCTGCCAACAAGATTACTGTTCTGGCAAAACACATGCCTGGAGACTATGACATTGAATATGCATCTCCGTGGGCCGGTGCCAACTACATGCCGTATGATATACATAGAACACCCCATCAATAATACACCTCCTTACTGATCTTGCTCCTGCACAGGGTTGGAAAACAAGGAAGTGCTCACCATGCATGGGAGCGCGATACCTGGCCCGCATTGAAAGCAATTGCAGAGAAGTACCCAGAGGCTGGTATTCACTTCCGAGGTAAGTTCCCCGGGATCTAAAGAGCATCCACATATCTGACATCCCAAGGCACTTTGATCTACAACCGAAAGAAAGACCAGGAATCTGCCACTGGGCAGTGGTTCTCGGAGTTGGTTCAGCCAAACCCGTGGTACAAAGATGTCGTCCCGGATGTAAGATATGATTGTTTAAGCGACAGGATCGTGGAATCCCCAGAGACTAACTCAACGTTCTAGTTCAAAAACATCCCCTCTGATCAGCTAGCGCCTGGGATTGACAACGCCCAAGAATTCACCTCCGTCTGCATCAACACACCCGTCTACTTGTCTTGGCTAGTGGGTCAATGTGTGAAGAACGGCGCGGTGTTCAAGCGCGCGGTTTTCAAGCATATCGCTGATGCAGCCAATGCTCATCATACAGGCCAGAAGGCTGATGTAGTTATTAACTGCACTGGTCTATCATCCAAGACCCTTGGCGGAGTCCTCGATGGGAAGATGTATCCTGCTCGTGGCCAGATCGTCGTAGTCCGCAACGATCCAGGACCAATGGTCTCGGCATCTGGAACCGATGATGGAGAAGACGAAGCATTGTACATCATGACCCGAGCCGCGGGTAAGTTCATCTATCTTTTTCAACTTGATTGAACACTCGCTTACCATGTGTAGGTGGGGGTACTATCCTCGGTGGATCTTATCAAAAGCACAACTGGGATGGAACGCCAGACATGAACCTTGCGAACCGTATCATGAAGCGTGCTATTGCGATCGCCCCGAGCCTCGTTAAGAAGGGACAAGGGATTGAAGGATTGGATATCATCCGGCATGGCGTTGGCTTGCGGCCTCTGAGGGAGGGCGGTCCTCGCATTGAAAAAGAGAAAATCGACGGCGTCTCCGTTGTGCACAACTACGGCCATGGTGGCTTTGGCTACCAGGCTTCATTTGGCTGTGCAGATACCGCTGTGTCTTTAGTCAAGGAGGTCCTGCAGAACAAGTCGCGGGCTAAGCTCTAAGTCGGCCTTTCTATGGCTCCTTAGGAAAAGCGTGTATATTGCCTTGCATGGCGATTGCTAGAAATCACCAGAGGATAGAACATAGCAATCCACCCATATGTCACTATGACGTCAATTCGTTGCTTTATTTCAACTCCATGAAGGCAGAGATAATCATTTAGCATCAAGCAACAATGTCCGAAGAAACAGCGCAAAAGATAAACCAAGTCTTGAATGACTTTGGTAGATCTCCTCTCCACCATACGCCACTTGAGAACTCCCTAGATGCCAGCCCAGGAATAATTCTAGCAATGGCAATGGATGCTCTAGTCAAAGCACGACCAATCTCACACGAATTGACACAACGAACCATCAAAGCGCTCATCGACGCCGGCTATCATGATATCAACACACTATCAAACAGCTCATGGGATGATCGAGTGGCTGTTCTGGCAGATGGGGGGTACAACCGCTACCGTGAGCAATGTGCTACGAATCTTGGGGAATTGGCGGAGCTCATTTTGAATAAATATGGTCAGTATTTATCCCTGGATGCAGCTTCATCAGGTGGTGCAGTATTATGCCAGGATGTTTCTAACATGGCTTCAGATGGAGATCTTAATAACCTTTTGTATGAAGCGGATTTCGACAGAGATGAAGCTGGAATCCTCATGAAAGAAATCAAGGGGATGGGGGATCTGGCTGTGGAGGTTTTCTTCAATAATGTGCAATCAGTTTGGCCGTGTATTGCTCCTTTTGTTGATTCGCGGAGTTTGAAAACTGCCATCGATGTCGGAATTGGGGATGACTTGGATCACATTTATCAGACTTTGCAGAAGGATCCGGTGCGAATGAGTTGGTTTGCTAATGGCCTTTCTGAAGTTAGATTGCAGAAAAAGCAGGATGTGATTTAGGAAGTTTCATAATTTAGAGAGTTTGGGGTCATTTGTATCTTGATGGGAGTTGTGAGTTGAAAGAAAAATAGACCGTAAAGCAGGCCTCGCAAATTTAAAATTTGGGTTTATAAAACATATCTAAATCCTTTGTTTTCGATCTCGGTTTTGTCCTAACATAGGTTAGCTTGAGCCGTCGGTTTTAGAGTGACATAACTTACCAGCATTCCATTCTCAACACCCTCAGCCTCAACCTCCTGGCTATCAATCGCTTCTCTGTCTCTGCGCTTATTCTCAAGATACATGTAAACGTAGAGGGCAACAATGGCAGCCAATTTTACAGCATATCCAGCGAGCATCCTATAAAGAGTCATCAGTAACTGCAAGTCAAGCTAATCAGTCAAACAATACGTACGCAATATAAGCACTGTGGTAACCCGGGGCTTCACTAGACTTGAAAGTCTGCGGTCCAATAATATTTCCAACACAGTAGCCAGTAAACAGCAAAGCAGACGTAACCTGCTTTTTCGTGTACCCAGCAATGTTAGAGCTGACAATAGTCAAACTCATGCTAAAGCCCAAGCCTTGGAAATAACACAACCAAAGCGCAACAAGACGACCCCATTTGTTGGAATTAGGAAGTGCGACAAGTAACGCTGAGCCAATGATACACACCGTGCAGGCAAATATCATGCATGCGAATCGCGAGTGGAATTTACCATTGAACTTTGTTGCGACATAACCACCAAGAAGAAGAGTAAGGAATTGAACGGCACCACCAGGGATTTGGAGGTACTGTGTTCCAAGCGTGTCGAATCCAAAGGTTCCAACGATGATGGAGGTGAACTGTTTCTCAGTTAGTATATTCTAAATAAACATATGTTAGAGCTGCGAGACATACACTTGTCAAAGCCGAATTTGGAACTTGCGCTCCAATTGCCATGACAAACAAAAGCCACGTCTTTGGGTCTTGCGCGGCTTGCCGGACCTGGTACCACTTGAATTGATGATTCTTCACACCCTGTCGGTTAATCGCAACACGCTCCACGGCGATAGCTTTCTCACGCTCAGTGAGAAACTTGGCGGTTGACGGAAGATCCGGGAGGAAGATGAGAGCCGCAATACCCGTTGCGACAGAGAACGCTCCAAAGATGAGAAAAACATACATCCATCTTGGAAGTCCAGTGGTGATGTGCCCGACAGCGTATCCGATCAACCTATTTATTCAAGGTTAGATGTTTGCCAGTATATTATCTCGTCTCCATGCTATGGACAACTCACCCTCCGAACATTGTCGCAATTCCATTTGTGCAGTACCACGCTTCCAGTCGTAGAGGCTGTTCCTCGGTTGTATACCACATACCCATCATAAGGACAAATCCAGGATTAACGACCGCTTCTACCGCACCGAGAAGGAAGCGGTTGATGGCAATTCCGGCGAAATTATGGCACGCCGGCGTTGTCATGAGGAGACCTCCCCATACTAGATCTCGTTAGAATGTTTCATTATATTGATGGTTCCAAGTTATCGGTAGATCGCACCAAGAGTTGTTATGGAGAGGAATTTGCCAACCGGGAGCTTCTGCAGAGCTAACCCTGCAGGCCATTGCGCGATGAGGTACCCGAAATAGAAAATGGAGCCTGATTATATTAGTCTCTTTAGTCATTCTTTCCTGGATGTATGAGACATACTCAGCCATGAATATTGCTGTCCCTTGAGGTGAGTCCCCGTCTTCAGCCCGTATACCGAGGCAAAGTTGATACTGTTCTTGTCCAGATACTGAGGGGGTTAACACTTGAGATTTGAAAATGAAAATGGACAGGGCCTACCTGAAGCATGTAGATCAAAAACAATAGCGGGATCAATCGCAGGTCAATCTTTCGAAGAACGCGTTTAGCTTCTGCTGGCGTATATTCCAGACCCTGATGCTGCTTGTAGAAATCATAGTTCTCATCTCTATCGGAGGAGCCTTCTGTCGAGAGGGGTGGCGATAAAGCTGCCTCGGCCTCTTTTGTCGAAGACATTTTCTCGAAATCTGCGTTCGGCTGTTAGGGTTTCAGAGGAACAAGCAGGGTTTTATAAAAATCCCATCTCCTATACGCTTGACACGGTCCGCGTGGGGAATTGCAGAATAGAGTCCAGGGCCCCACAAGTCCTAGTAAGGAAGGTTCTATGGAGAGATATAAGATCTATTGCGTATGGGGATGCTAGGTTCCGGCCGGCGTAGAGTTCTGGCTTCTGAGTTCCATATAGAGTATTGATGACCGACCCAGCTACAAGTGTATACTACCTGAGTGGTTAGAATGTTGCTTATTGCCTTCACTTTTGTGAGGCGACTGACGTCGAGGCGTTGAGTTGAGCGAGGCGGGTGGAGAAATCACGACATCACCGCAGCAATTGCGCGTTTGTCGAGCCATCTAAGCAAATCGCATCCCCAAAACCTCCCACCTTTGACGGAGATATTCCGATGCCCCTGAATCATGAGACATGAGAAAAGCTGGTTTCTCCGAGCTCAGCCCATCCTTTTCTCTGTTGCTGAGCTTATAGTCAACCTAAATTCGCAGCTGATGGATTGTCAGATGCTCCGCAGCTCTTTTAGACTTTCTAAAGCAATAAGCTATGCTAAAATCCCAAGTCGCAGATGGACATCTCATTTTTTTCAGATTAATTTAAGATTAAAATTAAATTTGTGGCTTGATGTTGAAGAAAAAGAAATTAAAGAATTGCAACTCAACCCAGATCCCGATTAGGTAATAATCCTAAATGGACCTTCATGGATTTGATTGGCTGACGTAGAAGTACAAAGAATCTAAACGTTTTGTTGCATTTTCATGTTAGTTTGAATAAATTATTCATTGTCGGGTCCTTTTTTTGGGGGGGGGGCGACTAGCAGCCATATTACACTGCCTAACACCCCCACTTCATCCTTCTCGAAGGATCCAACAATGGAATGCATGACACCATGGTTATTGAAAAGTATCAGATCACCCTCTTCCCAATCATGTGTGTACAGATAACAAGGATCAATAGTACGTCTCCGTAACTATACAAACGCACTCGAATGTCAGCAAGATCATTAAGCACCTCTCCATTTCCAAGATGAATCTTCCGCACGCATGTTGGGTAAACCATCATTGCAAACTTGCCAGTAACAGGATTGTTTCAAGCCATAGGATAAATCTTGATTCTGGAGGTTTCGAAGGGAGGCAGTTCATTCTCAGCAAGTTCCAGCCCCTCTGATACAACACCTAGCCCGTTGGAACGGGACTTTGCTTTGCTCATCCAGATGTATGGGTGAGGTGCGTATTCAACCTTGCTTGTGCGGACGAAATGTTTCTCTTCCTCGGACAACATATCGTATAGCCGGTATCTACTGAAGGAGGCGGAGGTGGTGCATCTTGTACAGTCCTATTCCTATTATATATACCTAGTCTACTGACCAGCGAGCTAGGATCACACCTTATTCCACGAAAAGCCCCCTCACTCAGGAAGAACTGGATGATGGCTATAACCGTCCATACAGACGGCACATGGATACCCCGTTCTATGAACGACTTCCTGGAGAAGTTACCATCTTGCATTCAATCCGGATCCCCAATGTACCAGATCAGAAAATTAAGTTCCCTGGCGGAAAGGAGAAGAGCATCGGTGCTGGGACGACAGCATGTGGGTATCTTTAAGGAGCTTGTATTCGAGATATATCGTCTGATTCAATATATAGTTTTCTCGGGCGCTCGTGCGTGCATTCGCGCTTTTGACACCAGAAGAACAAGAGTTTGCACTCAATACCACAGTCACTTATGCTCCTCAGGCATATGAATACATCCGTCAATGCAAAGCCTCTGATGATGGCGTTACTGTTCCCACCATGGGGAAAGAAGTACCAGTGGAGAAGTTATCGGAATGGGCTTGGGATAAAGTTGCAGAGCACCCAGTGAGCGATTTTCGAATCATGGAGGTGAAACCATAACAGTTGACTAACCATGCTTTCACAGATGGTTTGGCGAAGCCCTATGAATCCAGATCGGCCTTTCCTCCAGGTCCATGGGTGCTGTGTTTACAAGCTCACCACCAGAAACCCTACGACAGGGAAGGCCACGGTGATGGATGATGTGGAGAAGGTCAGAGAGGTGGTACACAACACGCAAAAGAAGATTTATGCTGCCGAAAATATCTACGCTCACAGATGGCAAGAGGGGGATGTGGTTATCTTCCACAACCGTGGTGTCATGCACAGCATTACTGGTCAATTGGCGAAGTACAAGGAGGAGGATAAGAAACGGATGTTGTGGCAATGCACGATGACAAGCACCACGCCTCCTAAGCCCTTCCTGGACTATGAGGGCGTAAATAACACAGGCTACGTGAGGGTATGAGTTAGAGATAGAATACAATAAGGATTCCATAGAGTGATGGTTCCAATCAACGTCTGGACATAATATATATTGGTTTCACAGCTGAAGAGGTCCCTGTAGAGAATAAAAAGTCTCATTGAACCACGCATCGAAATCAATATCCTCTGCAGTCCCCCATGTAGGTCGCATTTCATCAAAATGAGCACCAATAACATCCTGAGACTCAACAGTCGGGATTCCGCTAGGAGATGCCTCGGTGCTAGGAGACCCAAGGTTCAATCGACTGAACGTAGAAAACTTGGCCAAGATTTGACCAAAATCCATCATTTTAGAACTCGTGCCTCCAGTATTCAGGTCCGAGCCCGCAGTAAAGATTGCATCAATCAGAGCAACGCCTCGTTGAGCGAGCACATCAAGATCCCGTGAAGCAAGACGGGCTCGAGCAGAAAGTATGGCCTCTTTGTAGCTCTGGGCACTCGCACTGAATGCACTCTCGGCGATTGCATTCACCTCGAAGCACATTATGACTGCGGCTGTAATTGCAAATGCGGTATGGGTCCAGATTGAGATGTCCTCTTCCCGCACGATTGTTTCGTGTTCGCGTAAGATAGTCATCGCTGCTGCGACAGAGGTACGCCTTGTGTAGCTATATGTTGGGTCATGGAAAGAGCGGAAGAGGAAGGGTCGATGAATCATGATGATCTTTTCTGCTGCCGTGATTGCTAAGCTTCGTCGGGCGATGCTAAGCCATGGGATTTGCTGTTCTTTCTCTTTGTCCGGACGCAGAAGAAATGGTGGTATATCTTTAACCACAGCTCTCATTTTCTGATCAACTTGCAGAATATGCTGGTATTGTTCACGGTGAGGCTTTCGGTTGTTCATTGGACCAAGTCCATCAACTAGGCCGGGCATCAGCTCCGCCAGATTTACTAGCACGCGGACATAAGTGCTTGTAGTGGGTGTGCTGATTGGCATATCCATTAAGTCATAGTCCTCTGCGTTCATAGGGCGACCCGTAGAGAAGTGCATTGGGGATATGCTGTATGTGTCGGTAAAGGGGATGGCGAAGTGGTCTTGGATGATCATTTGGCACCAGACCCTTTTTCCGACTTCTCGCTCAACTCTTTCTTCCCAATCATCCTTATTCCGGACTGGCTTTGTCGAGTGATCCTGGATTTTGTGGACCCCAAGGCACTCGGCAATGCGCACTGCAGCGTTGAAAAGGGTCGCATTTAGCTGACTTAATCCGAGGTTATGAGCAACTTCTGTTGATATAACAATGGCCTGCACTGAGTATATTGAGAGATTGCTGAGGAAATGGCAGTCATACAGAGTTTGCACCATAGCAGAGAAGAGTTGCTGTGCAGATTGCATAGTGTGCAGATCAACATCAGCCAAATCTCTCGCTTTCGGGCTATCCTGAATTGAACTGACGGTAGAGCTCAAGACAGAATAGTAAAGAGCTAGCCAGAGGGGATCATCATATCTTCCAGTTTCCCAGAACATCTCGCACTGTTCGAGAAATGTCGGGCCGTGGAAGCAATCATGATGCCATGCCACATGACAGATATGGAACTTGACTAGCTTCTGAGCATCTATTATTCTGGGGAGGTTGGGGTTTAGTCCCAGAGGAAGACTGTCACCTTGAATTGATCCGTTGCTGGATACCAACTGTAGGCCATTTTTGCGATATTGGCACGCGCAGTTCCTGTGAGGGAAGCACCCAGCGGAATTTCGACCCCAAGCAAGATGCTCAATTGCCGTGAGAAGCGACGAGTCGATCTGGTTTGAGGCAGCTTCGGCAGATGACGGTAATTTTCCAGGTACACGATCTTCAGTCAAAGTTATCTCCTGCTGCGACGAGTCGTTGGATGACTCGGATTGAGGGAGATCCCGGCCAGTTTGCAGCCGTGATATCCTATTTCTCACTTTTTGGACCACATGTGTGATTCCAGACGAGGACGAAGAGTCCAGATCCGCGAGAACTGAATTCAGAAACTCAATCTCTGAAGCATGTTGCACGGCGTTGCGCCTGAGCTGGACAACTTCTATTGAGCAATTAAGGTTCAGTCGTTTACACCTTGTGCAAGGAATCTGTTTGTCACATTTGCGCTTGCGCTTCGTGCACTCTGCAACGCGTCAGTCCTACACCCTACTCACGAGAAGAGATTTGGCCTTTACCTCTGCAGGCTTGTGGTTGACGCTGCGAGATACGGACAGAAGATGCTTTATCTGGTATGGCACTCATCGCCTGAAGAGATGGAGTACAGAGAGCCAATTATCCCATGCCTGTGTTTCCCGCTGATGCCGGAAGAAGTGGAATGCACGAGGGTGGAAAAAGACGGGGTTTGCCGAGGCTTGGCGCCCCAACGTCGATCTTGACTCTCCATTCCTTCTACGCATTCACCCATGCTTCATTCTTGAGATTTATACTTTTTCTTTCTACTAGTTGTCCATGAGGATTCTTGCCCAGAAGGGCCTCTTAATCGACTATGGTCTCGTATGCAAGCAATGCGATCACCGTCATGCCTTTTGCTACAGGCCGATTATCTCAACTCTCGTGCTGCAACCAGTGGACTCCCTTTAATGATTTTAGAAAAGTCGTGTGCATCCAAACATGCCTGCCTGGAGTTGCGTACGCTGGGCTCTGCACGCTTGAAGACGTCATTCTCGTAGGCGGCAAGGGAATGTGTCAAGGTATCTTGACCGAACGAGCTGGTGATTTGGATAATACTAGTCAGTATACACCGATAAGGCCATGCTCAAGACAAGAAACAGAACCATACCGTGTCTGTCGCATGTCGACTCGTTTAACGAGATCCAAAACATCGACGATCGCATTGTTGGCGCCTTCTCCGCGGTCTAGTCAAAGTCAGTAAAACAAGATTCGCTGGTCCGCTCGAAAGGACCAACATATGTCACGTACACATTGTCATTGTATGTGCTGAATCTCCCATCAAGACCGCCCGAGGATGAGCATGCGTCCTTCCTGGTTGAAACATCCAGTCTTCGATCCGGATGGAGCGCACTTCCGCATCGTCTGGAAGTTTGTGAACCAGCGATCGGAATGGTTCAGACCAGCTGTCAGTCAGATTTTTCATCAATGTAATGCGCTCCGCATTGTCACCTGGGACTGATATCCCTTTAGAGTCCGCCCAGGAAACAATTACCTGGCAGTGATAGCGATCCTTGCTACTGGTCTCGAAGTTGCCAGGCGTATCCAAAACTACGAAATTAGTTATGGGTATCTTACGGAAGGAGTGGTGGACCTACAGCTGAAAAAGAGGAACACGTTTGAGTCGGGATGCGAGCCCTGGAAGATAAAGGGGTCGATGGACTCGGCGCCGCCCATCTCTTCTGCAGTATACAGCGTCGATGCACCAAGAATTTGTACGGGCAATGGGTTCATCTCCAAGTCAGGATACAGAATCTCGCGTGCGCGTGACCTTGAGCCATCGCAGGCAACAAGAAGTCGCCCAATGCACGAGGTACCATCCTCGAAATGAGCAGTGATTGTATCCCCAGAGGACTCGATATTTTGTAGATTTTTGCTCCACTACGCGTGTCGCATCAGCACTCGTCGGAAGCAGAGAATAGCCAGCGCTGCAAAAAAAAAAAAAAAAGAGTCCTCCGATGTGACAGTCGCGACTTACCTGAACATCAATCCCAGTAGTCAGTAACTGGCGCAAGCGAACGCGGCTTACCCGAATACGCTCAGCGGCAGGCACATCATACAAAGCAGCTCCTGACTTGAGATCGAAGAACTGGAAGCGCCCGGTATCTCCGAGCGCCGAGGCCTTTTTGTTGACGAAAGTTTCCGGGAATCTTTCAACTAAATGTTCGGGTAACAGTTCGCGCAAGGCAGGAAGTGCCCAGTGAAGCGTCAATCCCCATCCACCGCTGCGGGCATCGATCGCGGAGTCACGATCGAAAAGCTTAAAAGGAACACCTTGGCGCTGGAGATACTGGGCCAGGACGAGGCCACTGATGCCCGCGCCGATGATCAGAACAGGGTGATCGGACATGGTTAGGGTGCGGTTGATCCAGATACACAACACTCCAGCTTGATCTCCTTAATTTGCAATATCACTCGGTCCGCACTTCCGAGCTCACCCCTGTACTCCGTAGGCAAACGGGAAATAGGTTGCACTGCACATTCAAGCAATCATGCCACCCATGCCACCCATGTTGCCATGCCACCTGCTAATTGGAGAATTTTCGGAGAGAGTTTGTGTGGGGTCTACAATATGCGAAATGCTTCGATAAGGAAGGCTCGCCTATACTGCCCACAAGAGAGACGTACAGTACATAAGATTTGACAAAGCCCAACTGAGTTGCGCCTTTCAGAGCTAAGCGTGCATTTATATTGGATGAAACGGATTTAGCTTTGCATTTACTTCCTGTTGTCTTACTTCGGGAGAATGAGGGCCGCCAGGACGGTGCTAGGCGGACTCCGGTGAAACCGGACTGCCTGGAGCTATCTGATTGGCAGGTGGTGGGCGAGAATATTAACCTTGTAGCCCCTGGCGAATCCTGCGCAATATATCATCCTGCAGGCCCACTCTCCCACCGGGATCATCTTGTGGATCTCGGTCCGTTAGGGCATTGATTGGAGGACTAGCGTAAACCGTAAGAGCACACCCAGGCCTCAAATGGGAGATTCCAGGGAACCCAGCCACGCGGAAACTTACGAACATGTCGGATTATGTTTTATTTGCTAAAGAGTGGACTGGAGAACCCTCGTAGGATTGCAGGGGCTGGTTGCGCCGCGCAAGGGGTAAAACCTAGTACAAGACATTTGTATTGGGGGCCAGAAAGTAATATAATAATGTACATGAATTAAATCGCGCAAAACCTTCCGCCTTGTGGATCTTCATGTATCATGCTTCGTCGACTTGTTCTCCAATGACACACTGTATTCCACTGTCATCTCAATACCTCCGTGGTCGCGATCCTGGCTCGACAAAATGAGTTCTTCACTTGGGGTCCGTTTCGGAGGTCCTGGCGCAGACACATTTGACTGCAACTGAGAACGCCCGTCTCTCGACCAGTTCTCCATTGCATAGGTTCTGCCCCGGCTGTCATAATAATTGCCCTTCGTTTTGCCGCTACTAGATCGAAAGTCCCGCACTACTCCCTTTAACAGAGGCGCCAAGTAAGGAGCGCAGGTAACAATATTCTAACATAAATTAGCCATCAGGGTTCGCACCACTTTGTTTCACTCCAAGACTTACTCCCACGTTAAATTCAATTGTTCCCCACAATACGAGCATTGTCGAATTACCGTCCCCGAAAGCCACGCGATGAATTTGTGTGAGTCGCAGAATGGAACAGACTGTCGTGAATAGGCCGAGGAGGAAAAGGCACACCACACCTGCCTTTTGCGCAGTCTTGATGTTCAGGCTGAGAAGGAGTGGAATAGGCAGCACAATGATAAGGATGTCGCAAATGATAGTGAAAATTGCGAGACCGTAAAACGTCTCTCCGACTGGAAGGCAGGTGCCTTCAATGTGAGAATTCCATGCTCGTCGAACCTATGTACCAGAAATATTGTCAGGTACGTATCACAGTGAGGGAGGTACAAGGGCTTTGTTACCGGCTTGCAATTGAAGATCAGGACAAGGGCACCAGCGATATGGCCCAGCGTACAGACGGCGATCACAATCCAAATGATAATTCGATAGGTGATCTTGGAGGTTCCAGAGATCAGGCGTAGATAACTAAGGCCAAGCGAAGCCTTGAACCCTGCAATACCGACCTGGTAGAAAGGACGCCCTGCATAGTTAAGCTATTTGCTTGCTTTGTGTTAGCTCGGTATTTATCAAAATTCAGAGGTCACACTATGCGAAGCGGTTCGCACCTTGCTGTATGTCGAGAAATCTGGCTTAGGACGATACTTCAGCGGTAACCCGAGTCCATATCGACTCTCTGTAATTGTCAGCGTCGACTCAGTAGAGATGAGCGGGGTTGCAATTGCTCACGAGAAATGCAAAGAGCGCTATAGATAATACTAAATATCTGCTTGAGAGTAAGATACATCATCCCTTGTATCGTGCATAGGTCCACTTACCATACTGCCAGCCATCACCCAGTCCGCCGCTGCCAGTCGACCTGATTGAGCCCGAACAAACAGTCGCAATGAGACGATAGTAACCATCAGCACAGTCAAACTTAGACATACTCCTAATATGAGACGGTATTGCGACATTGCCTCGACCTCGGGGGTCGCATTATAAACCCAGCCCATTGTTCTGTATGCAGTGCATCAAAGGTGAGGAGGGTAAAGAGATAAAGACCATAATTCCCAGGTCAGACACCGCAGACATATGACCTGTTACAGTTTCCTCATAAAATTCTGATAAAGTGTAGAGGACTTTCCACTTGCCTCATTGGACCTAGAACCGATAAGCCCAAGCACCCCCTTCATAACTCAATCCTGCTAAACCCCCCGGCCCTCATGCAACACAATCTATTCTCTCCACTTTAACTTTATGTAACTTGACTAGGTGTCGACCGGTGAATATGATTTGGCGATAAAATCCTGTGCCCCTCCATGCGAGATGTACATGTATCCTCCGGCCCCGCCGTGGTCTCGACGCAATTAACGTTAATGACTTGGTCGCTCCAGCCCATTCTTTTAGCTCCGATTATTTCCACCTTGCCCCTGTTAAACCTCGCTGCCTTCCGGTTTTGTTCCTCTTACTCTCTTATTACTTTAATTTTTATTTCTGTGTTGTTTCGATTCCTCCTTTTCTCCTTTTTGCCATGGGTGAGAAGCAACCTGAGGCAGCACCACAGATTGTGGGTGCAAATGGACTCGATGATGCTGTGGTGTATCTCGAGGGTCATGCAGGTGGGACAGACAGCCCACAAGTTGATCTGCGGGCGCTCCGCTGGAAGATCGACTGCCGGTTGATGCCCTACATGTTTTGCTGTTATGTTTTACAGTTCCTTGACAAGGTGATGCTGAACGTAAGTCACCCTATGTTTACGATTATGCTCAATCGTTTTCTTGTTTTAACATGGACCGCATATGTATAGTATGCGGCTGTGATGGGAATCAAGAAAGATTTGAAACTTGTTGGTAATGACTTTTCCAATACTGCCACTTGGTTTTTTATTGCCTACTTGATCGCAGAGGTTCCCAATGGTAATAATTTTTCTATCTCACGGTGCCTCCTTTTTTACAAAGTTTGCTAATACCTAAATAAAGTCTACTGTCTGCAAAAAGCACCACCAGCGAAATGGCTGGGGGGAAATGTGTTCCTCTGGGGAATCGCAGCCGCCGCCTCATCTGGAGCACAGAGCTACAAAGGTCTCCTGGTAGCACGAATCTTCCTAGGAATCTTTGAAGCCACAATTGGTCCGTCGTTGATGCTGATTAGCAGCCAATACTACACTCGAAGTGAGCAAGCTCCTCGATTTACCGTGTGGTACATGGGCCTTGGTGTTGCCCAGATTCTGGGTGGTCTCATTTCCTTTGGCTTCCAGCATGTACATCATGCCTCAATGGAAGGCTGGCGAATCATGTTCCTCGTTCTTGGACTTATTACCTCTGTGGTCGGTGGTCTGACTTTTTTCTTCATCCCGGATACACCGATCAAGGCTACCTGGCTGTCTGAGAGCGAGAAGGTCGCCCTCCTGGAACATGTTAGCGAGAACCAGACTGGAGTATGGAGTACCACCTTGAACTTGAGCCAGATTTTGGAGGCTGTGTGTGACGTCCAGTTGTGGCTCTTGACTGTGACAACTATTTTGGTACAATTTCATCCCTTCCTACCTGTCCGAGACTTAATTAAGCTAACGCCGCCTATTATCTCAGATCTCCGTATCTAGCGGTGTAGTGACAACCTATTCATCGACCTTGATCGCAGGGTTTGGTTTCACGGGACCTATCTCGGCCCTTCTCAACACGCCGGGCGGCATCGTTAGTATCTTTTTCACCCTCCTCGTAGGATTCGGAATTCGTCGTACCTCACACCGCTGGGCATGGAATGTGCTATGTACGATTCCCGGGATCATCGGTGGAGGCTTACTGTCCTTCCTCCCGAAGACCAATAAAGCCGGTGTGCTAATTGGTATCTATCTGGTCAACGCAATTGTCGCCACTCTTCCAATTCTTTACCAGTGGACTATGGCCAACTGTGCTGGACACACCAAGCGCGCATTTGCTAGTGCACTTGTTGCCGGATCTTTCTCGGTTGGAAATATCATTGGCCCGCAGACATTCCAGGCCCATGACGCGCCGGAATACCGCCCTGCTAAGATTGCTGTTCTTGCAACTCAGGCTGCTGCCGCCGTCCTGTCGGTTGTCCTCTTCCTCTATTATATGTGGGAGAATCGCCGTAGGGATCAAACTAAGGGAGAAGTTGACGATACAATGATTGATGAGACGAAGTGGGCTGGGCTCACTGATAAGCAAAACCCTTCTTTCCGCTATGTCTACTAGACATGTGAGACGAATTTCGTTCGGTGTTGTGGCCAATGATTTCAAAGTGAACATGGAAGTTGTTGCCGGACATCACTGGGTGATACATGACCTGTACTATGTGGCAGTTTTTGCCGTGGTCTCCGAAACCGCGACATGAGGAAGAAATTGTAATTTATGAGAATGGAACACGAGTTTATATCACTCAAAAAAGCGGTAACCAGAGCAGACAATCAAGGTCGAGATGTCACGGAATGGCGAGTCACAAGGTCGTAGATAATGTTTGATGACCCAAATTGAACTGACCAACTGTCTAGCTCATTTGCTGCCCCTCTCTTCGGATCATATTTGTACCTGAGCTCTGGACAACGCCCTGCAATGTAATTTACGCGACCTAACTTGTTTCAGCTTTTTGAGGTCGTGAAGGGCCATCTGTGAGCCTCAATCTGGTAAGCGTTTCGCATTGACCTATTTCGGCCTAGCCTTGCCATGAGGCCTTTCCGCTATCCGTGGAAACGTACTATAGCTTTTCTAGTCTTCACCCCACGTCATCAAGGTTGCCCCCTTTTGGAGGACACTTTTCACAGACATTATCCCTAATCTTTCAATCCGAATCCTTCCCGACGTAGCTGCTTGCCTGGTCCGGTAATTATGCACGACGCACCACCCCAGTCGCTGTTTCCCTTTGAGGACCCCGACAAGGCGCAATTGAGCAGAGATCTCGTGCTGAATTCCAGGCTGAGCGGGACAAAATCCACAGGCTGATCTGATTCCAATATTTCCGAATCTATCGCCAAGAATATTGATATTCCCAACGACGTCGTCTTAGACTGCGCAAACTAATTTTCAAGTCCTGCATGCGCTTGAAGATTTGGTCACAAATGAGCGGTAGTCGATATGCATCTAAACTTCCAACTAACTACAAATATAAGATTATCTTGGCGACTAGGCTGATAATTATGTCATTTCCCGATCCTGTTGCTTCAGCGGCGCTACAGACGGGTATATACAATTTGTGTGGATGTATATCTTATTACGATCCTTAGAGGAATGTCGTTTTCCTGTCTTGCTCGCTCGAGAGATGGTCCAAGTCACCGTCAACCCGCTCTTCTGTCACATTCCATTGCACGTCTTTGGCTATACGCGAGCCACCTTGGATGCTCCCACCGTTTTCAGTAAGAGCGATCTCATCTTGTTGTCGAGAAGACCCAAGCTTCCAACGACTGTTTGAGACACTGCCGGTGTTAAAGTAACGGCGGGCGTGGCTGCTAGCCTCGCCGACCCATCCAGGGACATAGTGTCTCATAAATTGCCGTAATGAGGGTAGGCAAGGACAAATTACAATCAGATTTGCTTCCACGTTGCTGCACAAGAAATCTTTTTTTAGCACAGTTCCATCAACATCGGATTGGAACAGGGGGACTTACATCCAGATCTGGGGCCAAGCCAGTTGGTATGTCACGTCTTCGGCAGTTAAGAAAGGGATCAAGGTCGTGAGACGGAGAATACTGGTAACAATCGTCCTGGGAAAAGGATTGTCAGCGGCCTGCGGAGTCTGCGCAATGGAGGTTGGACATACGCGCAACCGATGACGAAAATCAACACAAGATAGATCTTCTGGATCTTAGGCATCTGAAGGGACACCACTAGCGGTATGGGGAGGATGATCAGGGCGAAGTCAGTGACGATATTTGTCACAGCTGTTGCAATATATAGCCCGCTGCGGTTGATGCAAGACCCAGTTGTAATGGTAGAATCCCAGGCCTTCTCAACAGGGTTACAGGCAAAGACCAACGCGAATATAATGGCGATGCTGTATCCAACCACAATAGCGGAAATCAAGTGAAGAGCCCAGCTGTACGCTGCCTTTCTGTTTATGATGCGGCGATAGAGAAAGATGAGGCTCATCTTGGCAAATGCGAGGGCGGGGACGTATACGACGGCTGCAGCCAGGAGAACCTGTGACGATTTAATACCCCTAGGTGTTCGTTGCGATATCGAATTCAATCATACCTTTTCATACACGTCCAACATCTCTGCAGTGACGTTCCACAAATGTATGCCAACTCCGCCGTATTGGTATGCATCTAAGGTGAGGTGTTAGTACATGGCTAGACTTTGAAATGAGGTTGGAGGATTTCACCCACAGATACAAGTTATTTGAGTCCCAAGAGAGAATACCTGCGAGAACCTCTATAAGATAACGGTCGTTATCTCCAATTCTTCAAAACTTACCCATGCAAGAACAATGAAGGCTAATTGCGTCAGTAAACATGCCCTATTTTCATGGCTCGTCGAGGGTCCCTTACCGTCATCCCAGCCCAACTTGCCTAATAGACGGGACTTTGTGTATATACGAAGAACAAGACAAAGAAAGCTGAGTATCAGACCGACAGTAATGAGTGATATATTGGCATTCCATAGCCATGGGTGAGAGTAGTCGAAGTTGGCTGTCAGTCCCGCTGGAGGCGGCACCACTCCAACATGTTCGGGCATGTTGAAAAGGTTGTGTACAGCGAGATACTGACAAGTTCAATGTCAGGGATGGATGTCCAATGTAAAGAGCAAGAAAGCCCACATTGATTGAACATAGCCTTCTACTGGGGGGCCATTATGCTATAGCCAACTCCTGAACCGCCTATTTTCGTAGTGCAAGATGCATGGCTGACTTTTGAGACTATTGTATTGACAAACAAACACTAGAGGCATTTGCTCATCATCGGCCGGGCCCAGTGCCGTTACAATATCAATACAATACTCTTTTCATGCTACTGTGACTAAAAGTGGTTCGAGGGGCCCAAACACGAGATTCGATTACGATGGACAGTTCAACCCCCACAGTGTGGGTCATGGATCGCCGACCCCGAGGCCAGGGCTGGTAAGTGTACCCGCCCATCAAGAAGCGGTTGTTTCTGGTCAAAGCCCTAATGCGCCCGCAATCCTTCGGCCCCGCATAACCAATATTTGGAATGCGCGGCTAACGGAATCGACCCACGAGCCTGCTCTTGGGGGGTTGGGAGCCCCATGCCCCAGGCGCAACTACAAGGATATAAAGTTTTTCCTGACAGGGATCACAAGCGAAAAAAGTTGAATACGCGCACCTCAAGGCATACCTTCGGCTGCATGCTAAACGAGAGAAGATCGTCCCCTCCGACCAGAGGAACGCCGACGAAATCAACCTTGAGACACATAGCTTACGATACCATCTGGTTTGAGTATGAAGTATAAAAGATTGGCCGTGTTAATGCTCCCACTAGCCAATTTTAACATATCTAACAGCCAGTTTACACTTTGAGGCTCGGGAGAATCTACTGTGATGGGGACATCCTATGGCAGGGGTACTAGAGTCGCCAAGGACGTTCACCAGCACTCTCAGAATTGCTTTACTATAAGATTTCTCATGGTGACCTGTACCTAAATAAATTACAAATGTGGACCAGTGGTGGAAAATCACGCTTACGGGGGCCAAAAATCCCTTTCCATATTGTTACATGCACATATATGCGTGTGTCGATCAGTTCGTCGGTGATGCCCGGAGCACAAAAAGGCTCCACCACATGCATGTACATGTAGCTGCTAAGGGGAACAATTAATACTATTGTGTCAAAGGCAGATTGACAAGATTCGCCACTGCCAACTTTTATAATCGCTCACTGGTCCACCTGGCTAATTTTGAATCCGCCAGGTACCTGCGTCTGGAAAACACCCGCGTGGTCATACTCCTTGGCAACACGACGGATAAAGTCCACGTTCTTGTGCCCGTAACTGCTCAGGGGATCCTGGGTACCATCGGCGTAGTTCAAGTAGATGTACTCGTTATCGCCTCCGACCAACTTTGCGTAGGCATTGAGTTTTTCAAGAGCGTCATTGGCCAGGTTGTTGAACAAGGCGTCATCGGCTTCGTCCTTCCATGAGTAGTCAATGAGGACCTCTGTAGCTATTGTTAACTGCTGTACTCTCAGAGCATGATAGTGTGGAAATTGATAACTCACGGAATAAATTGTCATCGAAACGCTCCAGACCCAGCACATTACCACCGCGCTCCTGGCTGTGTTCAGCAAAGAGAGTGGGCCACGGCTGGATGATTGTGTCCATAGTCCAGTCCGTGCTCTTGACACTAGCCTTGGCCTCCTCAATCTTCTCGTTATGAATTTCAACAGTGCGCTTAAGCATCTCGATTGTGTTGACAAATGTGCCGGTGAAGAAGGTGTCGCTGGAAGCTGTCAGCCTTCATTTCTCAGATGGAACGTATGATGTTCCTTACCGGTAGCCAGATGCCTGAACAAGCTCCTGAGTCAAATTATACATATTGGCAAAGCGCATCGTGTCCGTGGTATTGGGGATGCTGGTAAAGTCCTTCAATGCAGCCGGGAATGCCACCGGAGAAGTGTACTCCAGAGCATTCGCGACAACGTTCGTGTCGGTCTTTGATGCATACTCCCACATACCAATCCAAGATGCATAATGATCCTTGTGGATGTTGTTGATGAACTTATGTCCAGCGGCAAGCTGCTGCGAGGTGGTGCTGTTAGGATAGATAACGAGTCCACCCCACAGTTTGTCCTGATCAATTGTCTTCAAGTCATACTTGGTAACAATTCCAAAGTTGATTGACCCTCCCTTCAGAGCCTTGTAGAGATCCGGATGACTCTCTTTGTTGGCGTTAACGATCTCTCCGTTAGCCAAAACGACCTCGAAATTTTCGACATTGTCGCAAGCGAATCCGACGCGTGCGGTGTGGAATGTGTTACCACCTAATTTGAAACAAAACTATTAGAGATTTGTTTTCCAAGCAAACAATCCTCAATCAATCTTACCACCGACCAAGAAGCCCCCCACACCGACCGGACCCCCACGACCACCAGGTACAGTCACATCATATGGTGCGAGTGTCTTGTATACAGACTGCCACCGAGCTCCAGGTAGGATAGAAGCAGTTCCAGCCTGCTTGTTGTAGACTGTACTGTTCATCATAGACAGATCAATAGTCACACCATCGCTAATATCATTGGCTCCGGCCCAGGTGGTGTGGCCACCACTCCGGACAGCAAACTTGCAAGCTCCAGCATCAGTGTCAACCAGGGTGCTAACAGCGCGGGAGACATCCTTGGCAGAGCGTGGCTGCACAATGCATGTTGGCTCGAGCTGAACGTTTTCGGCCCAATATGATCCGACCGACTCCGTGTATGCACTGCTGTTGGGGTAAACGACCTTGCCATGGAGACCGTTCGCTTCCAAAGCCGAACACTAATTAAGAAAATATATTGTTAGCTTCTTCTTTCTCACGGATCCAATGAAGGAGCCATGCTGGGCTTACTTACACATGTTTCAGTGCGCTTAGCCGAGGCGACCTCAGGCAGGATACTAAGAAGCAGCGATGCTAATACTGGAGTGATATGCATGGTGATGTAGTGGTAAACAAGCGTAACTCTGCTACTTCCGAGCTCGGGAGAACGCAGATTGGTCTTATATACCTAATTTTGAGCAAAGGTCAAAAGAGCTCTTGAAGTTTGCCGTTTTCCGGTGCCGGAATTCGACCGCGGCCGAGCTAGTTCCATATCGTCAAGTACAGTAGTCGATCAAGAACAGCCGACTAAATGAAACTCCACGAGGCGCACTAGGGGCTTGCGTGCCGGGGCCGCGGCCCATGGGTCCCCGTCGGTGGGGGCGTCAAAGTGTAACAATTAGGGGCTCCGCTAGTGTTTTCAGCTGTACCTGTAATAATGTGGGGGCCACGTTCTGTGGCCGTGAGGAATTGACGAGGCTTGGATAAAATGCCAGTCTAAGAATAAAGCAGGACGAAATACCACATTCCGCTTAAAAGATACTCAAACATGCGAGGGATGTATTGTAGTTGTAGTTGATGAAGAGATAAATTGTGCAGATGGGAGGCCTGGGGTAGTAGAAGGGTGGGGGCGGTGGTGGGCGGCCTACGAGGGATTCCACCGTTTCTTTCGAATCTCTTCCTTTCTTTCCTCGCAATCCTCCTCCTCTGCCGTATTGGCTTAACAAAAGCATACCTCGGACGACCCTTTGGGCCGCATTTTGGACCCCCTTGGGTTCTACAGACATCCAATCTTTTATCCCCCTTTTCTAATTTTCTTTCTATTTACTTTCATTGGTCGTCAATACGGTGAGGCGGATGCTGTTGTTATTACCGCCAGAACATGATGTCTGCCTTACCGCTCTTTCTCTTCATTTACTAGGTATGGGCTCAGGGAGCCAAAAAGCTTGGAGAATCTCATTGCCATATGGCAAAGGCCAACCGGGTACAGCTTGAAAGCCTAGAGGCATTTTTGATAGAGGAAGATTAGTTGTATCTTAAAGAGTAGACGGAGGCCTTTAATGAGCCTATACGGGAATAGAGACCTATGATTAGTAAAAACGTACCACCATTTTGCTATATATCTTCTCGATGTATACATAGGCCGTCAAATCTTCGTCGCATTTGGTCCCAATTATCTCCCGAAGGAGATTAAAATGTAGCATACTAAATCCCTTTTCAATCTCAGCCGTTATGTCATTTGTCTCAGTATACATGTAGGACTCGATGCATCTCACTTGTGAGCAAGGCAATCTGTTCCTTCTTTATTGCCAATTACCACCAAGTCAATAATTACCAGCATATGGACAGTTTCATAACAGATATCAGGTTGGAAAATCGAAGTGGAGCCTGCGATTTAGTCTAAAAACACATCCAACCCGGTCAACATTACAAGCTATGTACAATGGTCTTTATCAATTAAGCCGTAGGAATATTGAACCCATTATCTTCTCTGAAGAGACAATGGGGAGGATGAAGTCGTAGAGGCTTTGTCTAGATTGATCCTGGTCTGTCGTTTGACACACAAATGAGCAACTGGCTACTTCTTATCAATATCAGCGCAGAAGCATATGTGCTATATCTGGGTTGGTACAATATGCTAGTCTCCCAAACCAAAAAAGAAAAGAAAAGAAAAGAAAAGCCGAGCAAGTTCCTGTTAGGATTGTTTGGTAGGCCTTAGGAATACGAGGTCACCGCGATAATTGTTCTTCAAGGTTGACAATAGGAATTGTTTACATTGTCTGAAACTAACTCCCACTATCCATTGTTTACTATTGCACGTTTCATTCGTTTCGTGTTTTTATAAGAGGCACGCGTCTGGATAATAACTCTACACCGGTGACCATATTTTGTCTTACCTCAATCACTACCCCAAATCGCGTCTATTTTCAACTCACCATGTTCTGGAGATATCTTATTACCATAGCGATCCAGCTTTGCTGGATAACTTTCGGTGCTTCTGAGCTTACGATTGTACGTTTACTCCCACGGACCACGGCCTCAATTGCTAACCACAGACAGACGATTCCCTGGGTGGGAGACGGGCCCGATTACTTCCAAGGCTATGGCGCCAAAGTCCTTGGTTCGGTGAGTTTGTTGTCTGTTTTCCAGAATGATTTTCTCACGATGAACACAGCATGGCGACGCAACTTCTTATGCGATCAACTGCCTT